TGTTATACCGGCCAGTGGTAGTGAGATATGCTAACATCTTCTGTTCGTCTTCCTGTGTTATTGGCTTGTCATCATTCCAGTTCTCACCTCCAGAAGCCATGTTGAACGATGAAGTACGGATACAGGACTATCTATTGCCAGAACAACAGATGCACAATCACCAAAGTTCCGATTATCCTCAGTGATAAACAAAGAACACACCAAGTGCCACACCAACTGAAGCCAATATAACGAACAAAAATAATACCAGCTTGTGTATACACAAGACCTACTGCCAACTCAGAAAGAGCAAACCAACCAAACACAACCCACGGATGTGACAGCCAACCAATATCGCCTGATTCACTAAGGATACTGTGTAACACAAACGTCAGTTCATATTAATAAAATGTAAAGCATAATACAGTGAAGAGCAAATGTATAGCAGTCTACAGTGTGTAGCAAAGGGAGGTAATTACCAATGACAAAGTCAGGAATAGTGTCACCAGTTATTAAAAGAAAACTCAGTATGAAACCTACATGATTTTATTAAATAAGATTGTCTATAACGCGGAAGCAAAGTACCGATGTAAACACGCGTAGTCAAGAACAAGTTACGTAACCGGATGTAAACACGCGAAGTGAAGGCACGGAACGCGAAAAGTGACGCGAAAACAAGTGCTTGTTTACATTAGTAAGTGCTAATGCCGGTGATGTGGGTCGCGATCATTCTCATTCACCCAATGAAGTAAATACTAAAACTAATGCTAAATTAAGATATTGAAGAATGAAATAAACTAAGAAATAATCTAAGAAATTGAATAACAAAGTCCAAGATGAGACAATTATCTAAGTAGACATCGTTTATACAGATTGTCTAATTGTCTCCCAATATCTAAGACTAATATTAATAACTAAAGCTAAACACTAATGTTTATCTCAGACTAAGTATCAACTAACTAATAATAAATAACTGCAGTGTTAGTCAATATTCTTATCATCACATAATAAACACTTGAAGTATCTACTATATGGATTTATAAGAATATATATATATATACATGCAACAGGACCTAGTGCGCACAAATACTAATAAATAGATAAAGCTGGTAGTAAAGCATAAACATGCAGTATAGATATCACCAATTTCCACGGCATACACATTTCCAGCGTGAAATCAGCAGTGTAATAGTCAATCAGCAGACGTTAAAGTTCATCTTTGCAGATTGTAAAAAATAATGTTAACATTTCTGGAAGTGTTCGGAGTCCATCGCCATGAGAAGCGTACAACACAAGTACAGGTGGAGATATTCTAATGCACACTTGCCTGCATATAATGTCTATCACAGTCGTCCTTGAATATCACAGTCGTCCTTGAATATCAATGTCTGAATATAAATTATCACAGCTTGACAATATAGATTTATGATTATAAAATCATTAAAATGTCAAAGTATATACTTAAAAAGTCTGTGAAGGTGATTCAGGTGATAAGGATGATATGGTTGAAAACGATGATCACGTGGACGATAACGACGATGTTGATGTTGTGATGACGTTGTTAATGATGTTGTGGCTCTACCTCAGTCCCTGTTCGGGCGCCATTTTGTCGCGGGTTCTGCCAACGATGTAATCGAGGGAACTGAGGCGGTGCGGATGAGGTATAAAAGGATTTATTACCTGTAAAAATATATAAATTACATCAACATGAATTGATGTGTCGAGGAAGAAAGAATGTCTTCCCTCGACAATGGCGTGACATGAAGTCCATTTTATTACGTTGCATAGCATGGCACAATATAATATTCAAACGCTGTTACTTTATATACTATAAATGCAGCAATAAATGATTTCGGCGGCACACGTTATGTGTGACGTCACCACATTATAAACAAAGTAACATTTTTATGATCTTTCATGTAATAATAAAATATATATACATGATAAACAAATGGAACTTAACCAGATCTTTCACTCACAATCTTACTTACAGGATGGTGCTTTAAACTTAGTGTTTGAATTAGTAATCTCGTGCAACGCGATGCCTTTAGACCGAGTATGATATTCACAATTTACAACATTAATTATTTAGTTTCTACAATCGCGTTACCTATTCTATTGACTAGATTTCCATAAAGAAAGTAGATAGACACGGGTACATACCTGTAAAAATATATAAATTACATCAACATGAATTGATGTGTCGAGGAAGAAAGAATGTCTTCCCTCGACAATGGCGTGACATGAAGTGGCATTTGAAAGTGTCCACGTCACACCCCAGGTATTAGCACGAGATACTGATGGTAAGACAACCAGGAGTAAGATTGAGAGATGAAGCGTCCGTAAAATGAAAAAGAGATAACTCTTGGCAACTAATAAATCCGGCGACACGTGCTAAAACCTGGTTTGAAAAAGATCACTGCCCACAGAACATTACACTACTGCTTCTATGAGAAATACCCAAACTCCAGAGTGAAGGAACCAATGAATGTAGGATGGTACGCTATATTATCACCATAGTTAATTTATAATGGAACGTAATGGTGCACGCTTACTAACGCAACATGTTTCATTTTTTTATGACCTGTCAATTAGGATTGATCAATGCTGATTTTCTTTACAAAGTTTTGTAAACAATTTACCTATCAAGTGACTCAAGGGCAGGCAACTCTATATTATCGTGGTATGGCTATTTTGTGGTGTGATATGTGTGTATTATGTGGTTTACATCACTTCCTGTTTTGGATTTGCATACTCGGTATGCATACGGCCTAGGCTAGGTCAAGGGACTTCGTCTAAACAAATGGGTTCTTTTCTTACCAGTTTCAACTGGAGGTAGGGGTAATTCCACTTCAAAACCATTCCAGAAACATTAAAAAGTTAATGTGTAAACTTACGAGTCGCTGTGACATACCGCAACGAGTCCTGTATTCAATCAAGAGATGAAATATCGTGTTTAGATTTGCATAAGTAAACAGTCGAAGGGATGTGTATTACAAGATTTGCTGATACCGCGATAATATAAAGCCCACGATAATATAAAGCCAGCAATAATATGGAGTCATACTATACCACCAAGACTGAATATGATATTTGTTTTCATGTGTGTAACAGTCCCATATACCATGTATACATTGACAAATAAGGTATCAAAAATGGTACACACATTGTCCAAAAGTAATTCTGGGTGTGGCCATGACCAGCTGATGGATTAATGCAAGAGTGACTGCAATGGTCTGAGGGTATCTTCCCACTAGTTACACGTCCCATTTGTCACACACCTTAAAACAACATAGGTCATGGCGGAAGGCACTGACTGGTCTACCCTATGTTACCTAAGTATTAGAATGGAGTGATCAAGAAAAGTAGAAAAGTAATCTTGTACTTTGTGTACTTTATATACTTAAGTAAAGATATATATAAAATACTGCAGAAAGTAAACTTGGTACTTTATTTATGGGAAGATTATGCACCCAAAGACAGATGTTATAAATATATTAATTAAAATTCTTTATTAGCACTGATTAATTGAATTGAATGTCTCTGAATAGTCACAGTTCATCACCATATAGTCCCTCAGCACGGGGAACTTCAGGTGTCTCATCCATGGTGTCCAACCAGGTGTCTTGTACTTGTCCAAGAGGGACACCTCTGACCCTCTTCCTCAGTTTGCTCACAGGGGATCCGCATCTTCACGGTGGTCTGTGATATTCCGTACAAAGTCTCCGACTGTTGTACTGTTTCCTTTAGTCTGAGTTATGGAATCTTGCACATGCTAATTACTTAGCACTTTTCCAGTGCCTACACTAGTATATATGATGAAATTAATGTATGATTGTAACCATATATTGAACCTGGGATGGATTTAATGGGAGACTGCACCACAATCTAGAGCCCATTTCTGTCTTAGTGTTGACATTGTAATAATGTCATGTATGAAATTAGACATTGTCTCCATGTAATTAGGATAATTATTAATAGTTAGAGTGTTATGTGTCATACTCATTTTGGTAGCAAACACACAATTGAGGTGAGGTAAAATTGGGTTTAAGACTATGTTCAAGATTATTGCACTTACATAGTGACGTGTGTGTGGCTGCTTGTCCTGGTCCTGACTTATGCCGTTTTTTTAGTGGTAGCCCACTGAGATACCATGCCGCAGTTTTAACATGCATACTCCACTCATTCTACTTTTAACATCTTTTGGCATGATATTCCGGGGTTTTAACCACAGACTGTCCGCTCTCCAGGCAGACACCATATCCACTAGACCATGTAGGCACATAACGTAGTGTTTGAATGATTTGCATAAATATTTTACTATGATTAGGGGTGACTATTGGTCTGGAAATCACTATTAGTATTGCGATAACTACTGATTTTGAAAGAAACTATTGCGATAACTATTAATATTGCAAGCAACTATTGCGATAAATATCGATATTTTTCAGTGTATCATTTTAGATGTGTTTTAGAGTTGAATTAAACCTTGGAACTGAAGTTTCCTTTGAATGTGATAACCATTACAACGAACAAAAAGTAAAGTTTGAGATATGAATGAGTAGTTTTTTCTTAACCCTAATATTATAAGAAAAAAAACCTTCCACATTCCCATGTGTAAATTACTACCACCCATGATCAAAAGAAAAACCAATTTGAACAGCTTTGCATGTATTTTATTGATATGTTAACTACAATCGAAACTATCGATATTCCCAACTGAAATCGATACTATTGATCGGAAACTGATTTAACAATCGATTTATTGACTTAAAGTGCTTACCAATAGCAATATATCGATATTTTGATTTATCGTGACACCCCTAGCTAAGGCTACCAGTTGTCTGAGTCTAGTCTCCCGATTAGATAGGATAATATAAGTTTTTGCACGTTTTTGCACAGGCATAACTTTCATTAGATAATCAAGTGCAACACAAGTATGTTGTCAATAATGCAACACTTCTATGTTACAGTCATATTTTTTGTGTGAGTTTCCTGTACAGGGCATGTGCACCTTTCAGATGGTGTAGGTCAGGAAAGCCGAGGGTCACTTCTGTCCTGCAGCCATGAAGCTGGACATCGATGTGTTGGCCTCAACCAGCATCAAGCGCAGGAAGCCATGGCCACAGATTGTCTGGGCAGGGCAGGTGAGTGGATACATCAGCATCATGTACAGCTAGCATCATACTTGAAGACATGCAATGTACAATGGCCCTAATTATTATCCTAATTATCATGATTATATTACTGCCGAAGATATTAATGGTCATCACGCAGCATAAGTAATAGGCTTCCACACTGTCAGTATCTTGTGTCATCAACATGTCACAATGGAATTCCCCTGTTCATCGCATGCACAACCGCATTAAGATTTTTGTTCTCACTTCTGCTATGTAAAGATCTGAGGACGACCTTTCACAAACTTTGACCACCCAATGAAATGACTAACAAGAAGTCGACATTAGCCAATCTGAAATCAGCTTTCTCGAGCTTTATGAGGGGCAGTCGGGTAGTCTAGTGGTTAAAGCGTTCGCTCGTCACGCCAAAGACCCGGGTTCAATTCCTGACATGGGTACAATGTGTGAAGCCCATTTCTGGTGTCCCCCGCCGTGATATTGCTGGAATATTGCTAAAAGTGGCGTAAAACCATACTCACTCGAGCTTAGTTTGTGGCACCAGTTTCAAACTTTCGACTTCCATTTCAGATTATGCTTGAAAAACATGTTGACAATGTTCTTGATTAAAAATGTGGAAACTAAACGAAAGAACATACTGGAATGTCTAATAGATGGCCGAGATTGTATGGCAGTACTTCCAAAAGGCTATGCAAAGTCTCTTCCATTGAAATGTTTATTCCACTGAACAAGAAATAGACGATGATTTTGATGGAATCAGTTGTACAGTCATAACTGTCTTTCGGAATACGACATTTTAACCTTTTTAAGGTTGCATGATTACAAAACACATTCTGGCTGTAACTTCCTGATCTGGTAAGCGATGCTCTGATTGGATAGATGAAAGGTCGTTCTGACGTGACCCGTAATGGGATGTCCTAAGATCTTTGTTTGGTGGTAGTTAGAACTAAGATCTGATTTTAATGAGATTGGTGTATGCAACACAGTTTAGTAACTAATAAGAGCTGATTCTGTGGACAAATATGCAATGCCATAAATATGCACAAAGGTGATCATCACTTTATTGGCTGCTGAACATATATTGTTGAGTTATCAGTATGCAATGTGCACAAGTCTCATTTAGAAATGTATATAGCAACCAGCTGAAAACTTGATACCAAATTAATGTAAGCTGTTGGTTTACGTATTAGCAAACTCACCCAATACTTTAAGGAAAGACACCAGCTGCAATAGCACAAAATGATCTGACTGTGGCAGTCGGAAACAATGATTACCAGGGATAATATTATTCCTGATAAAAAAAATAGTTTCAGATACAATTTTTGCGATCCTTGCATTAAAATCCTGTAAAGTTATATCATTGGGTGTGTCTTGACTGAATCACCGGTAGATTCCAAGAAAACGTGTGTACAGCTGATTGCTGATACACAAGGTAATCTTAATCCCTGGACGGAAAACAATGCCTAGCAGAACAAAAAATACAAATTAAACAGTAAATCAACATGTCTGGTGATTTTTTATCTCAAATTTCGAATTTGTACTTACCAAGTTTCTCATCATCTGTTCGTACTGGACTTTGCTGAAGGGGTACGGTGTAATTTTTTTCTGCGCTTGATAAGCGAATTTTTTTTTTCCCAAAATACTGAATCCGCTAGAGGGGGGTGCGCATTATACATGGGTGCGCACTGTACTCAAGAAAATATGGTAACTGTTTACAGAATATATTGAACTATTCTGTACCTGTGTCTACCTATATTCTGAGAGTGCCGTGTTCCAGGAGAAGGAGAGCCTGTTCCTCCTTGACATCGGGCGGATCAGTGTGCTGTTCGTGCCATCAGGCAAGACAAAGAGGAAGGTTCCAGCATTATCTCCCCTTGTTGGGGAAGCAGTCCATCTCACACATACAAAGAATGGTAAGCATTACCATGGCGACAGTTGAGTAGAATGCTTTTTCTTGCATGGATTGGATTTCTTCATCAGAGTGTTAGAATTTACTGCACAAGATGTTTCTGTGATATTTTATAAAATTAAGAACAGACAGGATGGTCGGTTGCCCCAAGCTTAAGAATGATCATGAAGACATGTTAGATTACAGGAGTGGTAGGGTAGCCTAGTGGTTAGGGCGTTCACTAGTCACGCTGAAGGCCAGGATTCAATTCCCCACATGGGTACAATGTGTGAACCCCATTTCTGGTGTCCCCCATCGTGATATTGTTGGAACATTGCTAAAAGTGGCATAAAACCATATCAATCAATCAAGCAAGCAAGCAAGCAAGCAAGCAAGCAAGCAACCATTCAATCAACCATTCAATCAACCATTCAATCAACCATTCAATCAATAAACCATTCAATCAACCATTCAATCAATGTTAGATTAATTTAAATAATATGTTTTGTTTATTAACTTTAAGCGTCTGTTAATATGAGTGTGCAGGCGAAATATTTCTCTCAGAAAACACAACACAGATTAAGAGAAACACATGAAAATCCGTTTTCACCTTTGTTCTCCTCTCTGACCTGCAGGTCTGTTCCTGGTGGGTCTGATGCGGTCTGGAGATCTGTTTGTGTGGCACAAAGACAGGGACAGCCTGAAGATGGTGACAGGACTCGTGAACCATGTCTCCATAGACAAACTCAAACCAGGTAACATCCTACATCTGTCCTGCATTTCTAGTGTTTTCTGGTGGAAGTGCTGACTTTATTGTGAAACAATGTTTGATATCAGAAAAAAAACTATTGGTGAAAAGACCCAGAGCCAGAACAAATAACATTGATGCTATCTCCTTCTATGAGATTGTGACTGGATTAGCTCAGACCTGATTTTAAATGTGCTCTAATATTCCACATGTACACATTCTTCCTTTGCTTTAGGGGGGCACGGGTGGCCCAGTTGTCTTAGGCGCAGCGATTCGCTGTGCAGAGTTGCATCCCTTGGGCACTCCAGAAACCTATGATAGTGGGTTCAAATCCCGGTTCACCTCGATTATGTCTCTAGGTTTGTCAGCACCATACCCATGCTCGTGGGTTTCACCGAAGTGGTAAACGTCTGAGACCTGCATCACTTAGGGCTTTCCTCCCACATTATGCTGACACGCCGCGATATAACTGGAATACTGCTAAAGGGGCGTTAAACCCAACTCACTCACTCACTCTCACTCCTTTGTTTCAGGCACCAGCAAGTTGGTTGTGGCAGATGACTGCTCCCGGGCCCTGGTTGTCGTCAACTGGTCTCAGATCTTCCTCTGGCAACAAGACCCAAACGATAGTTTCGGGTCCACTAAATCAGCTACACTGGCAGGGGCATGGACACGGGTGAACATCCCCAACAAGATTCCCCTGGCGTCACCAGAGTGCCGGGAGACCAGTGTAGCCGCCATCTTCTACTCCAGCCAGGTGAGTGTGATGGAACCTGCCACACATCTTGCTGACCTACAAACATTGACACCATGATCTTAGGTTAAAAAAAATAATAGTCTTGGTTCTCAGGCACCGTCCGCATTTAAAAGAAATTATAATGCTTAAAAACAGTGAGATACACTATGACACACAGTTACTTCCCTTTACATGCGCACTGCTTTACTGCACAACTCGTGTTATGGCCATGGCAGCAATAGGAGTTTGTATGCTCGTTTATGTAGGGAGGCCCTTTCCCAGGTTGATGGTACACAACTGTTTATTTGGTTACGTACTTGTTTGAACAAGCCCCCAAAAAACACTGCCCGTCCGCTCGCACTATATTTTCGAAAGCCATTGCCTGAGAACCGATTCTTTCATTTTTTAAAGCCTCATAGAACAAGATATACAAAACTAAAGCTATCCAAGATTTGTGAATGGACATTTGAATAGCTTAATGCTACAGCTATTACTTACAATAAAAATTGATTGTATCAGAGATTTCTTCATAGATCTTTAGATAAGAAACACTTGTTTCTCCCCGATGTCCAGGAAAGTGTTACAATGTTCTAATGTTTATGGGTTCCTTCAACTGAGAGGAAATGTCTACAATGTGAATTCTTCAGTTTTTCTCCCTCATTAAGCTGACACACCATGCCACAACTGGAATGTTTTCAATTCTCTCACCGTAAATGCGACCATGACCAAACTGACTGATGTGACTGTTTGCTATGAGTACACCTCTCTGTGTAGGTTCTTGGTGACTAAACTGACTGGTGTGACTGTTTTCTATGAGTACACCTCTCTGTGTAGGTTCTTGGTGACCAAACTGACTGATGTGACTGTTTTCTATGAGTACACCTCTCTGTGTAGGTTCTTGGTGACCAAACTGACTGATGTGACTGTTTTCTATGAGTACACCTCTCTGTGTAGGTTCTTGGTGACCAAACTGACTGATGTGACTGTTTTCTATGAGTACACCTCTCTGTGTAGGGTCTTGGTGACCATACTGACTGATGTGACTGTTTTCTATGAGTACACCTCTCTGTGTAGGTTCTTGGTGACCATACTGACTGATGTGACTGTTTTCTATGAGTACACCTCTCTGTGTAGGTTCTTGGAGACCAAACTGACTGATGTGACTGTTTTCTATGAGTACACCTCTCTGTGTTGGTTCTTGGTGACTAAACTGACTGATGTGACTGTTTTCTATGAGTACACCTCTCTGTGTAGGTTCTTGGAGACCAAACTGACTGATGTGACTGTTTTCTATGAGTACACCTCTCTGTGTAGGTTCTTGGTGACCAAACTGACTGATGTGACTGTTTTCTATGAGTACACCTCTCTGTGTAGGTTCTTGGTGACCAAACTGACTGATGTGACTGTTTTCTACGAGTACACCTCTCTGTGTAGGTTCTTGGTGACCAAACTGACTGATGTGACTGTTTTCTATGAGTACACCCCTCTGTGTACGTTCTTGGTGACCAAACTGACTGATGTGACTGTTTTCTATGAGTACACCTCTCTGTGTAGGTTCTTGGTGACCAAACTGACTGATGTGACTGTTTTCTATGAGTACACCTCTCTGTGTAGGTTCTTGGTGACCAAACTGACTGATGTGACTGTTTTCTATGAGTACACCTCTCTGTGTAGGTTCTTGGTGACCAAACTGACTGATGTGACTGTTTTCTATGAGTACACCTCTCTGTGTAGGTTCTTGGTGACCAAACTGACTGATGTGACTGTTTTCTATGAGTACACCTCTCTGTGTAGGTTTTTGGTGACCAAACTGACTGATGACTGTTTTCTTTGAGTACACCTCTCTGTGTAGGTTCTTGGTGACCAAACTGACTGATGTGACTGTTTTCTATGAGTACACCTCTATGTGTAGGTTCTTGGTGACCAAACTGACTGATGTGACTGTTTTCTATGAGTACACCTCTCTGTGTAGGTTCTTGGTGACCAAACTGACTGATGTGACTGTTTTCTATGAGTACACCTCTCTGTGTAGGTTCTTGGAGACCAAACTGACTGATGTGACTGTTTTCTATGAGTACACCTCTCTTTGTAGGTTCTCGGTGACCAAACTGACTGATGTGACTCTTTTCTATGAGTACACCTCTCTGTGTAGGTTCTTGGTGACCAAACTGACTGATGTGACTCTTTTCTATGAGTACACCTCTCTGTGTAGGTTCTTGGTGACCAAACTGACTGATGTGACTGTTTTCTATGAGTACACCTCTCTGTGTAGGTTCTTGGTGACCAAACTGACTGATGTGACTGTTTTCTATGAGTACACCTCTCTGTGTAGGTTTTTGGTGACCAAACTGACTGATGACTGTTTTCTTTGAGTACACCTCTCTGTGTAGGTTCTTGGTGACCAAACTGACTGATGTGACTGTTTTCTATGAGTACACCTCTATGTGTAGGTTCTTGGTGACCAAACTGACTGATGTGACTGTTTTCTATGAGTACACCTCTCTGTGTAGGTTCTTGGTGACCAAACTGACTGATGTGACTGTTTTCTATGAGTACACCTCTCTGTGTAGGTTCTTGGAGACCAAACTGACTGATGTGACTGTTTTCTATGAGTACACCTCTCTTTGTAGGTTCTCGGTGACCAAACTGACTGATGTGACTCTTTTCTATGAGTACACCTCTCTGTGTAGGTTCTTGGTGACCAAACTGACTGATGTGACTCTTTTCTATGAGTACACCTCTCTGTGTAGGTTCTTGGTGAATGCTGCCAGTGCTCCCTGACCTTCAACAATGCAGACAAGCTGTGTGTGACGACAGTCTTATTGAGATTCTCAGAGTTGCACAACATATACAAGGACAGGTAAGATGTAATGCTAGCATCACATAGACTGACCAGGTCAGCCAGAAGTTATTTATGATAGAGTTTCATGTAAGGCAAAAGAGAAATCCTTTCATTTTTTACTTATCTCTCCTCAACAGTATGCAATATTCCTTCTTGCTGCAATCATATAACAGTGTAGAATAATGTAAAACAATCACTCAAACACACCCTCCGACAACCTCGCTCCCAGCATGCTCCTGCATTACTCGTCACTTTTTCCTTCATCACCCGATTGGATGGACATGTTTTGCTACGCTCCCAAATTTCTATTGGAATAGACTTTGTTTGCCGTTTGTGTTTATTGATCTGTTTCGAAATTGAGAAATTATGGATGCTGTGATTATCACTTGACTCCTGACCTCCTAAAGGCCTACTCAGCCAAAATAGGCAAAAGGGCTCATCAACAACTCCAGTGTCAGGCTTTGTGCCCCCCTTGCAAGCCTGTGACTGTCACCTCCCCCAACCCTCAGGAACGCCTGCATGCAGTCATCTTGTGGGTAAGCCCTTGGGGTTACCACTCCCACTTTGTCGCCTCTGACACCCACGATGTGGGCGGAGTGCCTCACACCTTGGTCATCACCCTGGTTATCAGGCTGCTCATGACCCTATACTACGAGTTCTACGATGGCGCCTCTTCGGCAGTGACGTCACCATGACTACTGTCATCAGACACCAATGCTTATCATGCTTATTGGCAAACTCTGCCTCACATTCCCTTGAATCTTAAGTCTCGAGGCTTATCTCCAAGCCCCTCACCAGGCGCCACCTCCTCTTTAGGAGCTCCACCAGGTGCCGCATCATCAGGCGCCACAGTTACAATAGTGAGTGAGTGAGTATGGTTTTACGCTGCTTTTAGCAATATTCAAGCAATATCACAGAGGGGGACACAAAATGGGCTTCACACATTGTACCCATGTCTTCAGCGCGACGAGTGAACTCTTTAACCACTAGGCTACCTGACCAACCCCAGTTACAATAGCAGCTCCATGGTTACCATCCTTGGATATTGGGTTATCACCCTGTTTGTCAAACAGAATTGTAGGGTGACAGGTGCTTCAGAACCATGGGGGTGTGTTTTAGCCTATAGGCTGAGTATTATCTTATTCGTTTATCAGTTGGCCATGTGTGAATTCACCATTACCATTCTGTCCACAGTGTTCCCAGTTATCACACAGAGTGGAGCTGCATTGAGTATCCTGTACAGAACATCAGCACTGGCTGTCAGCCAATCAACACGAAGGGAGCCTATGTCACATGCTACTCACATGATGGTCAGGTGATAGCTGTAGCAGCCAATCAGAAGCGTCCATCTGACACAAGTCTCCTGTTCTTGTCACCACTGACTGAGACTGTCCTTGTGTCAGAAATGAAGGACTGTGGCATCCAAAACGCTGACCGGAAGTTTGGAAGGTACATGTTAGATGTCATGCTGCGGGTTGTGATAAAGGTTTTAAGGAAAATAATTAGTCATGTAATGCTGCATACATACGTAGTAATAAAAATAGTCTGCTTCGATGGGCATAGCTTAATTTTTTACATTCATTAAGAAATGAATGCAATAACACGTGACCATTTCAGCTAATCAGAATGCAGGAATTACAATGAACACAACGAAAATCTGTTACTTGTTAAAGAATCTGGCTAACTGATTGATAAAGCCATACAAATTGACTGGCTGGCCTGTATGGATGATACACTTGCTTATCATGTCTTAATAATTCTCGTTGCACTTTGAGTCACCATGGTTACCATACTGAAAGTCCCTTGGTGGTCCTGAGATAGATTTATTTGTCACAGGCAAATATTTCATATAATTATGTCTTTGTAAGTTGTCAACTAGTAATGACAAATCCAATACATTTGTCACTTGTTGGATATACAGGACTTATAAGCTGAACGTTGTTCATATGTAGTAAATATTGACTCATCCTGATACATATTGATCGATGTAAAGATCCGGGGTAGAATAGGTCTTCAGCATCCCATGCTTGCCTTAAAAGTTGACTATCCTGTCATAAGAGGCAACTAACAGGATCAAGTGGTCAGGCTCGCTGACTTGGTTGATGCATATCATCATATCCCAATTGCACGGGTCGATGCTCATGATGTCAATCACTTTATTGTCTGGTCCAGACTCGATTATTTACAGACTGCTGTCATATAGCTGTAATATTGCTGAGTGCGGCGTTAAACAACAAACAAACATATTGATACATACTGATACATATTGACTCGTACTGCTACATACTGGTACATAATCATATATAATGATACATATTGTTACATAGTGATACATTTTAATACATACTGATACATGATACAATTTCAGTTGCTACTGGGTGTCCTCAATGTCCTGGACCTGTGACAATCTGTTTCTGGCATGTATTCTACGGAACGGTTCCATTTGTTTGGTGTCCCGGCTTGGGGAGCCAATCAGCATTCAGACGTCGGGCTGCTCTATTGACCTTGGTCCATCTCGCTTCATCCCAATACACCCCGTCATTAGAGTTCAGTAAGTGATTTCTTGAAATGAGAGAAAAGATATTTACAATTTTTGATTGTTTTTGTGTTTTTGTTGATGAATAATATCTGAAAATTGTAAAGATCAAATCTGTTTACAATATGTCCAGTCTTGTGTTCTCAGTGTTCTTTTCTCTTTAAATCTTTTCCTGTATACAGGGCTGTTGTGACCTAGAATGTATTCAAACCCAGAATGCTCTTACTGAAGACCAAGAAAGTACTCAAGCTTCTTCTTGTAGAAACCGCCTCCATGGTCTTGTGGTAGAGCGTCCGCCCAGAGAGCGGAAGGTCCAGGGTTTGATCCCCGGCCGGGTCATACCAAAAGACGTTTAAAGATGGTACTTTTTGTTACCCTACCACTCAAACTGCGGCATGGTATCTCAGTGAGCTAGCACTATAAATCAGCATCAGTCCGGACTAGTACAAGCAGCCACACACACACACACACACACACACACACACACACACACACACGCACACTTACACACATACACATGTGCACGTCGCTATATAAGTGCAATAATCTTGGACACGACATTAAACCAAATTTCACCTCACCTCACCTCTTCTTGTAGACTTAGACTGTAAAAAGGTGCACAAGGTTTTTGTTGTGGACCTAGATTTATTCAGGCCCCAGATTGAGGGGACAGTCCACCTTTGGCATGTTGAGATTCGGAGATATGAATACAGGTAAGAATGCTTCTGTTAATATTATACCATATGTTTTGGTGTGGTTATTTCTTAAAAATCTTCTGTTTCAGACAAGAAGGTGAAACTGAGCCAGTCTTGGATGAACATGGAGATGACCCCTTACAGCAGATATTCTCCGTGTCCACACACCCCTCCCTTCCCATCATCCTCTTCTCCGATGGCTACATGGTGACCGTGGTCCAACTGCCATGTGACACAAGATGCATGGCCTTCATGCGCGACCTTGTCTTTGAGTCGTCAAAACATCTTAAGTGGATACAGGACCAAGAAGGAATTGATATGACTCTAGCAAGTCCATACAACTTGCCGGTGGACAGAGCCGAACACGACAGAATGGTGAATCGGAAGAGGGAGAGAATGTTAGCAGAGTCAAGATCAAGACCTCAAAGGTTGAAAAATTTACGGTACAGTTTTGAAGATTTGACAGGATCTTTAAATGACACTCAGGACAGTGAAGTGAGTGCTGTGTTGGACGACGGCTTCGGTCAGTTTGGTGCTATGCAGAACCTCAGCTCAGGGAAGATTATGTTTGGTGAGCCGGAGATGATGATGGCGACTGTGGACTCTTCCTATCTCAGCATGGCGGAACAGGAGGCTGTAGCTAAACGGATGCAGGCAGCAAAAGTTGCTCTTTTCATGTCATGGAAGCTGGCAGCATCACACAGTGACATTTGGACATCTGATCTGGACCGTGTAGCTAAGTCGATCGCACAGAACATGGTCAAGATGTTTTCCCTGATCCTGAACTGTCCGCCGGTAAGTGAAATGATAAATCCGTCCGTCCAGTCTCCGGCCATCCAGAACAGCGGCTTGTTCCAGGTGATGACGATGTATCGGCAGATGCTGGACCTGTTGCAGTTTGACGTGCTCCACCAGCACCTTACTCCAGTCTCACTCCAGCTCATGCACCACACGGCCAAGCTTGTCCTGGACAGCCCAGGTCTAGACCAGCTCGATCCTAGACTGAAGACGTTGTCTGGATGTTACACGCTGCTTAGGTTCTCGGAGAAGACGTTCAACAAGACGTATGTGTGGCTTCCCAAGTCGGTGTCCTCCAAGCCCTTCACTCCGCGGTCAGGGCTAGGAGGGGCTGATCAGTACCAGCAGGGGCGGATTGAGGGGGTGGACAACACGGCAGCATCCCAGCTGCTGTCCAAGAGGTGAGGCCCCTGGGTTCTATCGTTGTTTACAGAGCCACTTCACAATTTTACAATGTGAAGGAAAATCATGTACAGTAAACTATGTTTATAACGAACTGACAGATATAATCAACTTTTTGGTGGGGGGGGTGGGGGGGAGGGGGTGGGTGGGGAGGGCCGACCATTTACTCTATATATATGTTTTTATAAAAATGAACTGTGGGGCAGTCAGGTAGCCTAGTGGTTAAAGTGTTTGCTAGTCATGCCGAAGAGCCGGGTTCGATTCCCAACATAGATACAATGTGTGAAGCCCATTTTGTTGGTCCCCGCCGTGATATTGCTGGAATATTGCTAAAAGCAGCATAAGACCATACTCACTCACTCACTATAACGAACTGTGGTTATTATGAACTAAACGTAGTGGTCCCTTTGAGTTCGTAGTGCCATAGTTTACTGTATTTGTAATTTGAAAAGGTTTGAAATGTTCAGCATTGTGACAACTGTTTTTGTTGCCATGGTTAGCGATGTATCACTGTCAGCATCCAAGTTGATGCACATTAGATAAACATTTCCTCATTCAGCATCTTGTTTTGGCTTGTCATTCAGTACTGGTGTCTAGTGACTTGCTATGTATTGTTGATCCAGACTGTCGGCGACCTGGATGATGCTGTACAAGAACCTGGTGCACTTCCAGACCCACCAGTGTCAGAGTGAGGCTGAATACAGACAGGCCCAGAACCTCATGTGTCAGATCCAGGAGACCATGCAGCATATGGAGACACCCATACCCCAGCAGGTGTCTCCCAGGATCAGCCATGGTGAGTCTTACATCCATACAGCTGTAGCTGTCTCCCAGGATCAGCCATGGTGAGTCTTACATCGGTACAGCAGTAGCTGTCTCCCAGGATCAGCCATGGTGAGTCTTACATCGGTACAGCAGTAGCTGTCTCCCAGGATCAGCCATGATGAGTCTTACATCCATACAGCTGTAGCTGCCTCTCAGGATCAGCCATGGTGAGTCTTACATCCATACAGCAGTAGCTGTCTCCCAGGATCAGCCATGGTGAGTCTAACATCCATACAGCAGTAGCTGTCTCCCAGGATCAGCCATGGTGAGTCTTACATCCATACAGCAGTAGCTGTCTCCCAGGATCAGCCATGGTGAGTCTAACATCCATACAGCAGTAGCTGTCTCCCAGGATCAGCCATGGTGAGTCTTACATCCATAAAGCAGTAGCTGTCTCCCAGGATCAGCCATGGTGAGTCTTACATCCATACAGCAGTAGCTGCCTCTCAGGATCAGCCATGGTGAGTCTTACATCCATACAGCAGTAGCTGCCTACCAGGATCAGCCATGGTGAGTCTAACATCCATACAGCAGTAGCTGTCTCCCAGGATCAGCCATGGTGAGTCTTACATCCATAAAGCAGTAGCTGTCTCCCAGGATCAGCCATGGTGAGTCTCACATCCATAAAGCAGTAGCTGTCTCCCAGGATCAGCCATGGTGAGTCTTACATCCATACAGCAGTAGCTGTCTCCCAGGATCAGCCATGGTGAGTCTTACATCCATACTGCAGTAGCTGTCTCCCAGGATCAGCCATGGTGAGTCTTACATCCATACAGCAGTAGCTGTCTCCCAGGATCAGCCATGGTGAGTCTTACATCCATACAGGTGTATCTGTCTCCCAGGATCAGCCATGGTGAGTCTTACATCCATACAGCAGTAGCTGTCTCCCAGGATCAGCCATGGTGAGTCTAACATCCATAAAGCAGTAGCTGTCTCCCAGGATCAGCCATGGTGAGTCTTACATCCATACAGCAGTAGCTGTCTCCCAGGATCAGCCATGGTGAGTCTGACAATTAAACCTGAAAGTTGGTCTTGGGTGAGCTGAAGCTACATCCTAATGGGTATCCTCCTGACAGCACTCAGAGCTCCGGCAAATGAATTCCAGCCAAGTTATTGAACAAGAGGCTTGAAACTAGTGTGTTCCTTGATCCTATAATACAGTTGATGTTGTTCTGTTATGCTGGTGTTGTATTGTTGCAGGTGACAGACACAGCCTTGACGGCCACCACACACAGGCTGTGAATGCATGGAGCAAGCAGCTCAAGGCTATTGGAGGTGAGTTAGCATACATAGACTATCCAACCTGTGAAGATCCAGGATAGAATAGATCTTCAGCAACCCATGCTTGCTGTAAAAGGCGACTATGCTTGTCGTTAGAGGCGACTAACAGGATCGGGTGGTCAGGCTCGCTGACTTGGTTGATGCATGTCATTGATCCCAATTGCGAGGATCGATGCTGATGATATCAATCGCTGGATTGTCTGGTCCAGACTCGATTATTTACAGACTGCCGTCATATAGCTGGAATATTGCTGAGTGCGGCGTTAAACAACAAACCAACCAACCAACATAGACTATCCAACTCAACTGTCTTTATTTGATCTCAAACATGGTTTATTCGCTTGTATTTGTCAGGTTGGTGGCTAGTACTTGATGATCAGTTTTAAAACAAGGTTGTGATTTCTATTCATCATCAAGAAAAAATATTTGTAAGCTTGAGAATTTGAGAAAAAGTTCATAATAAAATTCCATTTCATCATTGTCAATGTTTTATTGGCAAGATAAGGTTCACAAGCTGTTTGCAATAGGCAGGCATTGTTGAAGCTGTTGCATCAGTGAAGATAGATTTGACTTACGGATTCAACTGTGATGTTCTTTCAATGTGATCGGTACAGATGCTAGTACCTTTATCAAGCTATTCACAGTTTGCTTGATAAAAATCTGTATCGAAACATCGCATTGACAGCATAAAGAAGTTAACTCTATCATAGAGAATACCCTTGGGACCAAGTCCTTTAGTGGGTATAGATGTGTAATTAAAATGATGAAGTTTCAAGTTGATGTTGATATGCCCCTGTTGTTCAGCCAAGGAGGACAGTAACAAGGCCGCCCGACTGTTACACTCCCTGCTGTACACGTACCTCATACGAGGGGAACTGCTCACTGCCGTCGACTTTGTGGACAGCCTCATTCTGAGAGCCAACGTCCCAGTAGGGGTGGACCCCGAGCACTTGAACAGGACAACATCCTCGGACAGTCGACTACCCCTGATGACCATAGTGGCCAGTACTCTCAAGACACTGGTAGGTCAGAGATGTAGTTATTGTTGTGTAGGGGAGATAACTCTGGACGTCATAGTGGCGTGAAGACACTGGTAGGTCAGAGATGAAGTTATTGTTTTGTAGGGGAGATAACTCTGGGTGTCATAGTGCGTGAAGACACTGGTAGGTCAGAGATGAAGTTATTGTTTTGTAGGAGAGATAACTCTGGACGTCATAGTGGCTTGAAGACACTGGTAGGTCAGAGATGTAGTTATTGTTGTGTAGGGGAGATAACTCTGGGCGTCATAGTGCGTGAAGACACTGGTAGGTCAGAGATGTAGCTATTGTTGTGTAGGGGAGACAACTCTGGGCAGCATACTGGCCAGTACACTCAAGACACTGGTGGGTCAGATATGTAGTTATTGTTGTGTAAGGGAGATAACTCTGGGCTGCATATGTGATATGACCATGATGCTTACGTCTTCACTCACTCACACAAAGCACAAGTGTTAGGATTATTTCACCACAGCAGTTTTTGACATGGTTCTGATGATTGAAAATACAACTAATACCAAGAGTAGGAAACTATTAAATGAGTGTGTGTCATACTAATATTGTAAAAAGAGTGTCAAAATCAAATTCCAAAATCAGAAAGTTACTCACAAATGTTATGATCTCTAGTCATTTGTAGTCACTCTAAGTTTCCCCATGTGTACATTAGGCTCGTGTTTTTCCTCACGATGCTTTTGAAATAGGTTTATGTGCTTTAACCTATAGTTTGAGGGATGGATGGACAGTTAGAATCGTACATTGGTTGGTATATTTTTGGGAAGATTTCCATGTTTGGATGGAAGAATAAAGAACTGTTTTCTTACTTTGCAGGCATTTGACAGCCCGGACATGGTTCCTTGTATCCGGGACAAGAGTATCCGACAGCTGGTTCAGACCATGGCACGATTCATGGCAGCGTACTTCTCCAACCAGACAGTCTACGTCTTCCCTCCCCACAACCCACAACCTCTCCCCGCCATCCACTTTGAAGCAGCTGTTGTCAGTATGTACACACAACCATTATAGTGTTTGTTAGGCTTGTTTGTTTGACTTGCCCTTACCTCTTGTCATGCAGTTTGACTTATTGTTGTGCAGTTTAATATGTTGTCATGCAGTTAACTTGTTGTCATGCAATTTAACCTAATGTGCATTTTAATATATTGTCATGCAGTTTCACCTATTTTTGTGCAGTTTAATCTCATGTCATACAGTTCAACTTATTGTCATGTAGTTTAACCTGATGCACCTATTGTGCAGTTTAAGCTATTGTCGTGCAGTTTAAGCTATTGTCATGTGGTTTCACCTATTGTCGTGCAGTTTCACCAATTGTCTTACAGTTTAGCCTATTTCCATTTTTGTATGCACAATTACTTTTTGTGGTGAACATGTAAATTTGCTCAAAGTGGAATAAAGGTGGAATCTGCATACACTCGTAATTTCTGTCACAGTCTGTCACTGGAAATCGAGTGGTCAAAATGGTTGAAAAAAAAGGATGTCCCCTTGTGATGATAAAATGTACATTTTAGGCTCTATGTACTTATTAGGGTTATCTAATAAACTCAAAGTTGTGATATCTTGTTTTACCAATTATTTTACATATTATAAGAGAAACTTGTTCATGCGAGATCCAACATGTGACTGGTATATATAATACATCAAACTTTTCAGGTATAAACCCAAATGGGAGATTATATAAAGCCTAAAATATACATTATTTAGAGCCTAAGTTATAAAAAGAGCCTAAAGTATATATGTTGAGCCTAAAATGTACTTTTTATGGAGCCAAAAATGTACCTTATATGAAGCCTAGAGTATACATTATTTAGAGCCTAAACTGTACATGCTATAGAGACAAAAGTGTACTGTAAATAAACCAATAATGTTCAGTACATATATCCTAAAGTGTACAGTAAGTAGAACCCTCACAATAATCTTATCAATTATCACGAAAATGTAGAGTGTATCAGATAAGCCTAAATCATAAGTAGATAAAGCCCTTACAATATTCATATCAATTGTATGTAAAGTATAATAGATAAGCTTAAGATGCACAACAAATAACACCAAATTAATTGCCAATTGTTTTTCAGACAATCGGATCATTCCTCAGTACCACGAAGACATCACGGGCGTGATCCGACAGCACAAGCTGGGCAGTGTGTGGACCGTGGAACGCACTCTGGAGTATCTACTGCTCAGTGGCCTGGCTTGTGAGGCCACGTGGTTCGCTGACAAGATGGGTGACTGGAAGGCTGCTTTCCTGATGGCTGTGGGTTGTGTTCAGCACCATTTCACAGCCCCCAAAGTCTATGAGAAGTAAGTACATAGTACATACGGTCAAGTCCCGTTAATCCAACATGGTTGGTTGCATATGATTATGTTGGATTAATGAGGATGTCGGATAAACAAAATTTAGTTGTATCAACATTTGTGATCGAAAATTGGACAACTACTAGGTAGATAACGATACAAACATGTGTAATTAAAAAATGAAAAACGAAATATTCATATTGTTATGTTTTATTGTTAGCGGAATATGTTTTCTGGTCATGCAACCTCTTAAGCTTAACACAATACAACAGTTTCGGACTGTAAGACTGATTCAAAAGACTTTAAAAAAAGCATAGTTTGGAATGGAAGTCGCCAGTTTGAAACTAGTGCCGCAAAGATTAAGAAAGCTGCTTTCTTAGTGGCTAATGTCGACTTCCTGTTAGTCATTTCATTGGTCAGTCAAAGTTCGCAAAAGGTTGTTCAGACTTGACCTGTAATGGGATGTTCTAAGCGTAGCGAGAACTTGTATCTGATTTTAATGAGATTGAAGTAATCTAAGCATGTGTACAAGCGGGCAGATGACAACTGAGTGTGCTGATCACTGTGTCGGATTAACGAGACTGTCGGTAATTCATTGCAAATTAGGTGTGTCAGCGTCGGAGTGCGAGACTGTCGGATTAACTGGGTGTAAATAGCACTGATTTAATTGGTTCCCATCATTTGTTCCGGATAAAGCCGATTGTCAGATTAACGAGTGTCAGATTAACAAGACTTGACTGTACATGCATTTCTACTTGAATTGATGACATACATCTCAAATATGCACAATTATGTGTGAGCTAGGTGACTTTTACGCTGCTATTATCAATATTCCTGCCATGTCAATATCAAGGGGGATATAAAGGATGGGATCATACATCGAACCATGTGTGGAATCGAACCCAGAACTCCTGTGTGATGAGCAAATATTCTAATCAGTAGGCTATCCCACAATTTAGGCACAATGTTAAAGATTGATTCTATTCTAATTGTGGGAGGATGATATGAACAAAAGGATAGTTTGACATTGTGAATCCTTTGTATTTGATGGGCATATATAATTTCATGAATATTTTCTATATAGAAAGAGGAAACCGCTGACACTTCCTGATTCCCTGTTGCCTGGCAACATATTACAGAGGAAGCTTGGCATGCTTCTGGGAGAGACGTCAAGTGAGGCACTGAGCAAGTCTCGACAGCTTACCCAAGGTATGTCCATTTGCAGCTATCAACGAGTGGACCAATGTTTGGGATGACAGATATTTGGGTTAACACTGCAGGGATGACGGATTGATGTGAATGGACCTGTTTTTTCCAGACTACATTGCTATTGATGAGGACACGAACATGAAAGTCCTGACGAAGACCCTGGAGGATATCCTGACAGGTGCCATGGTTGGGAGGGTTGATGTGTTGCCAGGGTTACTGAAGACTCTGGTAGAGAAACTGAAGACTGTTGTATCAGAGTTGCCTCCCCTCGTCCCAAAGGATTTCTACCTACCTGCCCCTCCCCTGTACTGCCCCCAACCTTCAGCTACAAGCCAGGTGAGTCTTTACTGAAGACTGTTGTGTCAGAGTTGCCTCCCCTTGTCCCCAAGGACCTTTACCCCTTCGCTACCCTCTACTGCCCCAAGCCTTCAGCTACAAGCCAGGTGAGTCTTTACTGAAGACTGTTGTGTCAGAGTTGCCTCCCCTTGTCCCCAAGGACCTTTACCCCTTCGCTACCCTCTACTGCCCCCAGCCTTCAGCTACAAGCCAGGTGAGTCTTTACTGAAGACTGTTGTGTCAGAGTTGCCTCCCCTTGTCCCCAAGGACCTTTACCCCTTCGCTTCCCTCTACTGCCCCCAGCCTTCAGCTACAAGCAAAGTGGGTCTTTACTGAAGACTGTTGTGTCAGAGTTGCCTCCCCTTGTCCCCAAGGACCTTTACCCCTTCGCTACCCTCTACTGCCCCCAGCCTTCAGCTACAAGCCAGGTGAGTCTTTACTGAAGACTGTTGTGTCAGAGTTGCCTCCCCTTGTCCCCAAGGACCTTTACCCCTTCGCTACCCTCTACTGCCCCCAGCCTTCAGCTACAAGCCAGGTGAGTCTTTACTGAAGACTGTTGTGTCAGAGTTGCCTCCCCTTGTCCCCAAGGACCTTTACCCCTTCGCTACCCTCTACTGCCCCCAGCCTTCAGCTACAAGCCAGGTGAGTCTTTACTGAAGACTGTTGTGTCAGAGTTGCCTCCCCTTGTCCCCAAGGACCTTTACCCCTTCGCTACCCTCTACTGCCCCAAGCCTTCAGCTACAAGCCAGGTGAGTCTTTACTGAAGACTGTTGTGTCAGAGTTGCCTCCTCTTGTCCCCAAGGACCTTTACCCCTTCGCTACCCTCTACTGCCCCCAGCCTTCAGCTACAAGCCAGGTGAGTCTTTACTGAAGACTGTTGTGTCAGAGTTGCCTCCCCTTGCCCCAAGGATTTCTACCCCTTCGCTTCCCCTCTACTGACCCCAGCCTTCAGCTACAAGCAAAGTGGGTCTTTACTGAAGACTGTTGTGTCAGAGTTGCCTCCCCTTGTCCCCAAGGACTTCTACCGCTTTACCCCAGTTGCAGGCCAGATCTCTACCCTGTCCCTTTCATTGGATCTCTTTGGCCCAGTCGTCTAAGGCGCCACGATTTGCTGTTCAGAGTTGCGTCCCTTGGGCACGCCAGAAACCTATGATTGTGGGTTCGAATCCCGGTTCGCCCTGATTATGTTTCTAGGTTTGTCAGCACCATACCCGTGCTCGTCACCTGCATCACTTCGGGCTTTCCCCCCACATTAAGCTGACATGCAGCGATATAACTGGAATACTGTTAAAAGCGGCGTTGAACCCAACTCACTCACTCATTGCATCTCCTGAGCCACTGTCACTCTTGCATAGACTTATGACAATTGTAGCTAAGACCACTGTGGACATACTATAGTTTGTTGTGGCAGTAATATGTTGTGGAATCACCCTAATTCCTCTTCTGTCCTTCAAACTTGTGCATGTACATATTCCATGAATATTTTTGTTATAGTCTGTGCAATAAGTGTATAAAGTCCATATTTATGCAACAGTACAGTATGAAAATTGCTCACTTATTAGTCACAGTCATGGTCCCATTTCACAAACCAATCACAGCACTACAAGACAAACCGACAACATATTTGTGTCGCAATGAGACTGATATTTTTGAGATTGGAGAGCTCTGTATTAGTTGTAAGAGATACAGCTGGTATATCTGACAGAGTGGACAAGGCTCTCTAGTCACACTGTGAAGCAAACCCAGACTCACAAACATTTGATTTGTTTGATAAGACAAATGCTTGTGAGTCACAATGACCCAGATGGTTAAAAGGCATGGGAAGCCATGACATGTCATCAACCCCTCCGTGGTCTAGTGGTAGAGCGGCTGCCCGGAGAGCGGAAGGTCCAGGGTTCGATCCCTGGCAGCGTCATACCAAAAGACGTTAAATGATGGTACTCGTTACCCTGTCTGTCGCTGTGCATTAAGGGCTAAAACAAGGACTGGTCAGCTTGGAGTCAGTATACTATGTCTGAGTGGCTATTCATGTTAAACTGTGGCATGGTATCTCAGTGAGATAGGATTTTAAATCGGCATCAGTCCGGACTAGTACAAGCAGCCACACACACATACACGTACATGCACGTCGCTATATAAGTGCAATAATCTTGGACACGACGTTATACCCCATTTCACCTCACCTCGCCTCATCAACCAGAGCTGCTTTTACTCCACAAACGTTGCAATTACATCACAAATGCAGTCTGGATTGCAAATTTCTTAACGATGTCATATTTTGAGAGTCATGATGTCCCAGATGTTTTTGAGCCAGGGAACACTGTTGTATGTGACGATGGTGCTGTTTGCTGATAGAGCCTGGGAACGCCCACTGTTGTATGTGACGATGGTGCTGTTTGCTGATAGAGCCTGGGAACGCCCACTGTTGTATGTGACGATGGTGCTGTTTGCTGATAGAGCCTGGGAACGCCCACTGTTGTATGTCATGATTCTGCTGTTTGCTGAAGATGTTGTTGCCCACAGGAATCGGTGAGATCCGCGGTAGGGATGGAGATGCAGCTGCGGAGGAAGGCGGCATCTCTGATCCAGCTGATGCTGAGTTTCCTGCAGGCCAGCCACCTCTCCCTGCACGTCACGCACTGGTATGTGACCCGACTCCTTCAGGCACAGCACAAGGCCACACAGTTCAAGGTCAGTGTGGGATCAGCGTTGATAAGGTCTACTGATCAGAAAGAACACTTATGTATGTTTTTGTGCTAGGGAATTCCCAGGGGTTTCCCCAGGAATGTAGAAGTAGTCCATCAGTGTTTATGTCATTTCAAGAACACGGTCTCATGAAAAACGTATGAACGTCAAATTGTGTCGCGGTGATGTGACCGACCTCTCTTCCAATTGAGAGCCGTATATCGTGTAAACTTCAAATTAAATAATTATTTTGATACTTCATATAATTTGGATTTTATTATTAAGTTGCGACTTTTACGCATAGCAGGATCCGAAGATGGTTTGACTCTCAGACTTGACCTGATTATGATCCTTGGTCTGTCAGGACCATACAGTGATAGTGTTGTCCACAGACTGTATTGTACTTTCCTTCAGTCTGACATGGTATAACTGAAATACAGTTTAAGGCGTAGCTTATCCCACGCATATGAATACAAGCACCAGGCATAGATGTGATCTAAGGTTGACTATCTCAGGCCAACACTGAAGGACCCTGTACAGAGCTGCCGAAGTTCCTCAGTGGACTGATGGACCACTTGGCGTCGGACTTGAACTTGGCAGAACATGAGGATGGGGAGTCCGTGCAGCTGGTGCTGTCAGCTTTCCGTGACGTCTGCTGTGTGGTGTGGATGCTCCACGCCCGAGACAAACTCTCCCTGTGTCTGCGGCAGAGACAGAAGTACCTTGACCAGCTCAGCTTCCACAGACAGGACAAGGTCAGTGGGAAGAGGGCATAGTCTTATTTTCGTACAAGCTGATTTTGTTTGCTTTTTACCCTAAAGGAATCACTAATTTATTGACACCAAAAGTTGTCTGGTGTAAGCTCATCTTGTTTTGTAAGAGACAAAGGTAGCAGGACCAGTTGTGCTTCCATGAAGGTTGGAAAGAGGAAGACTTAATATTACATTAAGTAATACGTTACCACTGTTATACCGAGGCTGTTGTCTCCCACAACTGCTGCTATAGCGAAATCTACCACAGAGATCTCAATTACCTCATGCAGCACGTGCGTAGCCACCTAGCTGCCATGTGACACCCTTCACTCTTGTCTCCTTCGTCTGCTTAGCAAGACGTGTTTTCTCCTGCTGAAGCGTTCCTTGAAGATTTGGTGATATTTATTATAGTTTATTCTCTAATAAACTGTGCTTTTATGGGGCGTTGCGGTAGCTACGCTTGGTTATAATTTTCCCGCCAAACGGAAAATTTTTCCCGCCCTTTTTTCTATATACTTGCGGGGTTCGCGTATGCACGTTGTGTTTTACGTTTCCCCTGTTCTTGTATGTTTTGGGGGTTAACATAACTTATTTCTTTAATAAAAGTTATATGTGTATGTTATATGTTCACATTGCTCGTTTATTTTCTTGTGAAAATGTTCGTTTGTGAATCATTGTGGTGCGTGCGTTGTAACCATGTTTTGTTCTTTGTTTATAGCAAACAATCAATGTCTGACATGGATATGTCCCCAGTATCCACCCCCTCTACCCCTGCTCCTCGGAGTTATGGGGTGTGCAGAAAGTTTTTGTCGTCCCGGGATCCCCACGTTCGTTGCCCGCGGTGCAGGGTTCCTTGCGGGGACACCCGGTGCATCCTGTGCGAAGGTCTGGGGCCTGCGGATTTTGAGCGGTACCGGCTGTACGTACAGTCCGTCTCCACCCCTGTGGTGGCCGGTTCGTCCGGTCGGGGTCCCCGTGCGGGTACCACCTCCTCGGCTGCGGCGGATCCCCTTGCGGCCCTCGGGCTGTCTGGGGATTCCGTCGCCGCATTGTTGTCGAAACTTGTGGATTCCATGCTGGCGGCCTTATCGCAAGATAGGCCGCTGGCTGTTCCGTCCCCGGCCTCTTCGGTGGCCGCGGGGTCGGACGCGGGGTCCACCGTTAAAGCGGCGGATCTCTTGGCGGCCCGTGTGCTGTCCGGGGATTCCGTCGCTGCATTACTTGCATAACTTGTGGACTCCAAGCTGGATAGGCCGCTGGCTGTTCCGTCCCCGGCCACTTCGGTGGCCGCGGGGTCGGACGCGGGGTCCACCGGTACGGCGGCGGCTCCCGTGGTCACCGGTCCTTCCCCCGAACCGTTGCTCCCGCTATCGGTTTAGGACCGCGTGGCCATGGTTTATGACCTCTTTGAGGACATGCCCCGGCCGGTACCGCGGGGAATCCACGACTGTGGGTTCCTCCGAGGTATACGATGAGTCTTCCGACTCGGCTTTCCCCGCATCAACCTTGCTGCGCGGTTTCAAGCCTTCCTTGGAGAACGCCTTCGCGGCGGCCTCCGGTCGGGGTCTCCCGTTGCCTCCGACGTCGTGGAGAAAGGGTTTATTCCCGGTACATGACCTTGCCTTTCCCGAGGCTGGTCCTACCGCGGAGGCCCATGTTGAGCGGTTGGGTGTCCGTGCCCCACCGGCTGCTACGGTAACGCAAGCTACCTTGCACCAGCTGGACGCCCTCGCTCGGCACTCCATGTCTCACGGAGACACTTACTTGGCTGCAGCGGCCCGTCTGGTCGAAGGTTCTCCCACGGACCGTGACCAGCGCATTTACAACTGCCTGCTCAGTTTAAATGCTTCCCTGGAGTACGTTGCCGAGGACTCTCGGCACACACTTGCTCTTGTTGGGTCCCTGCATAGGCGCCTGGGTGCCGCTCCTAACCGGAGCGCGCCCCAGGCTGCTGCGGCCGGTAGGTCTAAGGGGTCGGGTTCTTCTTCCTCTGGGAAGTAGCCCCGCCCTGAGGGCTCCGGTATGGGCAATCAGCTACCCTTTCACGGGGAACTGGGGGAAGCCCAAGTCGTCGACGGACGGCAAGGGCCCCTCCAGGTGACTCTCATTGGAGGGGTTCGTATGCCGACAGCGCCAACTTCGGTTGGCCCTTAGGCGAACCCGAGTCACTTGGCCCTGGACAGTTGCGCCTGTCGCAACCTGTCAGGGCCCCCTCTCCTTCCCCAGTGGGAGCCAGACTCCAGACTTACTGGGAGAATTGGGAACAAGTGTTCGACGACCCGTGGGTGGTCAACACGATTCGGTACGGCTATCGGCTTGATCTCAAAGCGAATCCGCCGCTCACCGTTGCCCCGTTGGCAGGTTTCGATTCGGAAACCGATCTTCCCATCCTCGCCGATGCCATCGGCAGGTTGGTGGAGAAGGGGCAGTACGGGAGTTAGCTCTACCAGAAATAACACCGGGGTTTTACTCCAGGATATTTCTCGTTCCCAAGTAGGACAGTGCCGAACTCAGAATGATTCACACGTCCGCTCCCTGGCTGTTCACCCGGTTAACCACCCCCATAGTGGGGTTCCTCCACAGGAGGGGTGTCCGGTACTTCGCGTACCTGGACGACTCGCTAGTAGCAAATCGAATGACGGACACCCTGTCACGCCATCTCGATTTCGCACGTCGGCTCTTGGAGCAATTTGGGTGGATTATCAATCTCCCCAAGAGCGAGTTAACCCCTTCTCAGAACTTGCTGTTCATCGGAGGTCGGTTCAACACGGTGTCCCATCGCCTCTTTGTCCCCCCAGACCGGTGGCACAAAATTCAGGCGATGATTGCCAAAGTCTTAGCGGTGCAACAGACTGTTCACTTTTGGGAACAGCTGTTAGGGCTACTTGTATCAGCCCAGGACTGCACCGCACGGGGTCGTCTCCAACTCCGCCCGCTGCAACGGTTTTTAATCCAGTTGTTAGCAACGGAGGTGAATAGTGCGACCGTCGCCCTCCCGGATCGGCTCCGACCGCATCTGGAGTGGTGGACGATCCCTTACATTGTCTTATCAGGAGTCTCTATGCGGCCCTACTGGGCCACGTTGACCCTGTATACAGACGCCTCTCTAGTGGGCTGGGGCGCCCATCTAAAGGGGGAGGTGAGCTCGGGGCTGTGGTGCTTAGACGAACTAGGTCTTCACATCACTTGTCTCGAGTTCAAGGCAGTGATCAACGCAGTCAATCACTGGAAGCATCGTCTCGTCGACGCCCGGCTCATGCTGGCGACCGACAACACGACGGTAGTGTCCTATGTGAACAAACTGGGGGGAACCCACAGTCACTCGCTACTCGATCTCACGTTCGAGTTTTACGCTCTGGTGGACAGTGTCCCGTGCCAGATACGCGCCCGTCACATCCCAGGTGTGCGGAACGTACTGGCCGATGCTCTATCGAGGCCTCAGGATCCCAGCCCCACAGAGTGGATGCTGAACCCAGTAGTGTTTCAGTGGCTGTGCGAACGTTTGGGTCGTCCGATGGTCGACCTGTTCGCAACGCGGTTCAACAATCAACTCCCGTTGTTTGTATCACCAGTCCCGGTCCCGAGGGCCATCGATCACGATGCTCTCGCGTTAGACTGGACGGGCTTGGTCGCTTATGCTTACCCGCCGACAGCGTTGATACCACACATTCTAAGCCGGCTCCGAGGAGTTCGCTGTCGAATGTTACTGATCGCGCCCATGTGGCCGAACAGATCGTGGTACCCCGACTTGCTGACCCAGGTCACGCAGTCGCCACTTCCACTGCCTGTGAGACCGGATCTCTTGATCCACCCTCACACCCGTCAGCTTCATCCAAACGCAGGGCAGTTCAATCTGCACGCGTGGATGTTGTCACCGAGCGTCTGAGGAGTAAAGTTTTTTCTCGCCGGGCGTCTCGGGCATACGTTAGTATGCATCGTGATTCTACCCAGAAGGTGTATAATGCACGTTGGGTTATTTTCACGAAGTGGTGTTGTAAACATCACATTCATTCGCCAGATAAGGTATCTGTGCAGGATATTGCTCGTTTCATGTCTCACTTGCGAGAGACCCGGAAACTCTCCGGGGGTTCCATTGCCAACTATGTCTCGTCCGTTGCTACGGTACGGGACGTTGCTATGGGTACCAGTCTCTCCAAAGAGCCGGTGATACGGGGTATTATCAAGGGTTTCAAACAGCACGATCTTAAGAAGGGCCGCCTTCGGGCACCGGCCTGGGTTCTTTCCCTAGTGTTGCAATCACTTACGGAAGCTCCGTATGAACCCTTGCATAGTGCTTCGTTCCGGCATGTGACTTGGAAAACAGCATTTCTCCTCTCCTTTGCCACGGCGGCACGTGTATCCGAAATTCATGCACTCGATGTCGCCAAGGTACGATTCGATAGGGGTGACGAAGGAGCGGTCCGCCTGGGCCTGCTCATGGGCTTCGTCGCCAAGAATCAGAGAGTCGGGCAAACGGAGAGAGAATTCACTGTAAGATCACTCAAAGAAATCTTACATCCTGCTGATACTGAGGACAGAGCGCTGTGTCCGGTTAGGGCCCTTAAGTATTATCTTAAGGCTTCGAATGAACGTAGACAAGGGCGTGACCGTCTGTTCATATCGTGTAACCCTAATCGCACGGTTGACATACCTCGCAACTCGATTGCGTTGTGGCTTCGTTCTGTCATCAATCTGGCGTACCGGTCTCGGGGGTTACCGGTAGCGGGGTCAAACCCGCACGAGATCAGGGCGCTAGCGGCAACATTTGCCCTACACTCGAATATCTCTGTTCGCAGAATATTACGAGGTTGTTACTGGCGTTCTGACTCGGTTTTTGCCAATCATTACCTCAAACAGGTCGCTGATGCCGTCGTGGAGAGTGTGCACCGTCTTGGTCCGCGGATCGCGGCGCAAGCGGGCACCTAAGGGGTGTGCCCAGCGCAATTCCGAACTCCTCAGGCGTCTGACCTTGCACGGTGGTCAATCTGGGTCTACTCCAATGTTCCCACTGCCGTGGGTACAGGAGTTGGGGTCCCGCAAACCAGCGCACTCACACCACAGGTGAGGGCGGCTTTTTGTGTGCTTTGTCCTTATTTGTATTTTGACAATTATGTCTTTAATTGTCTGTCGTGTATCCCAACCTTGTGATGCATGCTTACAAATACTGGAATTAGGTCACGCGCCTAATGCATACTTTAAGTAGGCTTGCTCTGGGATATACGGTCTGAATGAAATTAATTTCCCTCTTTTCGACTGTTTAACCTGATCTAAGATTAAGCTCACGCGGATACAGTGTTCTCATCCGCTGCGGCGATGAAATACCTATCCAGTGGGGCCGTTTGGAGTCACCAATCGTTTTGGCAATGACGATTGAGCCTTACGGTATGCGCTTGACAGTGCTTTGGTATTCCTATAGGGTAACGCCTAGCTAGGTGCATGCGCATCGAGTGCTTCCGCCTTGGTGTTTACTTCCGCTGGTCGGAAGGAACGCTAGCAGTCAGGATTCGGGTTGTAGGTGCTCCCCACCGCCTACTGTGGTAGTCAGCCTCGGTATAACAGTGGTAACGTATTACTTAATGTAATTTGTAGAATTTTCCTATTCGGAATATTCTATAAGTAATACGTTACCACTGGGCTGCTGCCCGCCCGTCCGTCCCCCGAGCACTTGCTCTCGCAGGAGACAAGAGTGAAGGGTGTCACATGGCAGCTAGGTGGCTACGCACGTGCTGCATGAGGTAATTGAGATCTCTGTGGTAGATTTCGCTATAGCAGCAGTTGTGGGAGACAACAGCCTCGGTATAACAGTGGTAACGTATTACTTATAGAATATTCCGAATAGGAAAATTCTACAAAATTGTTGTTTGTTCATACGAGGTCATATGAAGTTTTATGTCCAAGAGTAACAATGAGCAAATTGTTCACTGAAATCCAAAGATGGTCTGATGTAAGCACTACTTGTGTGGTAAGGTGTAGGCAAAAGAGCATAACAATAATTGCAATTTGGAATAGATGTAATATACTGCTAAATACTATTAAAGAGAATACACTTTGTATGTCTTTTAATTAATGTTGTGTAAACAAACAAGCTAAAATTGATGAAAATTATATTATTGCCATTCAATTTAAAAATAGGGCAGTGAAAGTGAATTTATTTTAAAATTGATGAAATGAAGAAAACATAAGCTGGATTATCTCTGTGTATTCATGCTGAGAAAAACATGTTTCCTAAAAACAAGCAAACAGTGATGTCATAAAAGATGTGTAAAGATTATTGATGTGAATACTTCTCAACAGTAACATTTGGAAAATTATGGAATTGATTTCATGAGAAATACTAATATATGCGTGACAATCTCACTGTTTGCATACATGACATCTGCTTGTAGGAGAACGGGTCTGAGCGATGGCTACAGGAGTGCTTCACCAACCTCCAGTGGGCTGTCCACCTTCTGGCGTTCAGCCGCTTCTTGCCAGACGAGGGATGTGTGTACAAGGTCGTCCTCTCTCTCCTGCTGGAGCTACCCCCGTCTGAAGACACAGCAGACATCTTGGCGGAGTATTTCTACGACATGGAGAACCTCGACGCAGAGGTCCAGGAGAAGGTGGACAAGATCCTACACGAGTGGCAGACGGTCATTGTCCAGCCTGAGGATGATGGGAGGTCAGCTAAAGTAGATGCTGATGTAGACGTTGATGATGATCCAACAGGCGGACAGAAATCAGTCAGATTCTTAAAAGCATCTCCTCGTGGAAAGTCGCTGTCTGTTTATTTTCACAAGCAGTGTCAAGTTGCTGGAAAAGTTTTGAAGAAAAGGAGAATCTGTTTCGGGAATTATGACGAATTTGTTTTTGCAAATTCATCAAAAGACCCTCGAGATCTCAATATTGGTTCCAGGCCATATGAGACGAAGAGATATTTCATTGAATTTATGGACACTTTCTGTTCTGTCAGTTTTGGCCTTCTGATGGAATCAGAATTAGAGAGACATATTCAAAAGAGATACCCTGTATTATTGCCGTGGGCGGAAGTTATCATGAACAGGGAAATGACAACTTTTCTTGAAAGATCATCTCACGGAAATAGAAAACATTCTCTGGTTGTACTGACACCAAGAGATGGGTCTGTTGAGACTCTGCCCAGAGGGAAGGACAGTTCAGTTTTCCGGAGACAGGGTTCTGTGGGAGACAGCGACCATATGCGGCTGATGAAAGCTAAGGGTCTCTTCCGAAGTAAGAGTGTGGTTGAAATGGGATCTTCAGATAAACCTTCTTCTCCAGTTCGGAGGTATGAAAGTGAGAATGGCATTAATGAGTTGGTAGGAACACCTGCTCGATCATCAAGACAAGGCAGTCAACAGAACCTGTCAGAGTTGGCATCAAGGTTTTATCAGTCTGAAGAGGCGTTGTATCCTCAGGAAGATAACGATCATTTCTGGACCCTGAATGTCAACTTTGGCCGTCGGTATACACCTCTGAAGAATCAGTTAGAATGGCTCGAGAATTGGAGCAGGAAGCCTCACTCGCTGGGCCTCGGGAAGAAGGAGCATCAGTTTGATCTGAGACCCACGATGAAGATATCGATCCCCGCCCACCTCATCCTGCTGTCTCTGTGGCTCCTGGAGAACAAATACACTGGGAACAAACAACCGCTGCACCTTTCAGAAGTGGAGGATGCAAAGGCTGGAGGTCGGAGGTCCAGGAGCAGACGCCGCCTAGCGGACTATGTTGCATTTAACAACAATGCTTCCAGTCCCCCGGGGGGCATGACAAGGTCATCTCTCTCACCCCGGGGTAAAAGCCCCTCCCGCGAATCCCTGGGGGTGAGGACATTGAGTCGGTCCCCTCAAGGTCGGGATGGAGAGTTGAAGTCATCAGCGGTTCTGGATGTTGAGAATATGAATGAAATATACAAGCAAGTCCTTGATAGGTGAGTTATGTATTAATGTCCAAATGCTTCGTGACCAATGTGACCATTACTAAGTGTCATTGTTGGCAATCAACTACGGCCATTTTAGACAGAATATTAATGCATTATATGTCTTAAGAATTGCTTGATAGATTGTGATCAGTTTTATATTTGATTTTAACTAAAATCAAATCTATTTTAGAAAATGAAAAAAAAAATATTTGGATAATTTTTATTGGTTATTATTGTGTCATATCAAATGTGCATCAAGTGTGGATTGAACATAAATATATAAAAATTCTGTATGCTGACTAAGAATGTGATGATAGTAATATTAATAAAGAAGTTTCAACATTATCCTGATTATTTGCATGTATTATGGTATTTAGATTTTAGGCCGGTTACACTTTCTCACTACATAGGTAGTTATCATAGATTGAGATGAACTCTAGTGCCCATGGCCATTTTTATTTTCATGATGTCATTCGTTCCATCCATCAACAGTCGCGATGACAGCAGTTCTATTGATGTGAGTTCTCTGGCCAGTGATGAACTGGATGGAGGACAACTCTCCATCATCAGGGGGTAGGTGATTTGTCATGCTAATTATAATAACTATGATAATAATTACATGAGCAAAGAACATGCCATCGTTACCATGATTACTCCGGGATCGAATGGCATTGTATCACAAGGGCGTAGATCGATGCTCGTGATGTCAATCAATGATTTGTCTGGTCCATACTCAATTATTTACGGGCGCCGTCATATAGCTGGAATATTACTGAGTTGTGCTGTTAAACAACAAACAAACATAAAACTGTTAAGACTGTTAACTGATAATGCAAGCCTGCTCTCTTACAGCACTGGCAGCCCCCAGAGACAAGGCAGTGTGTCCCTGCTGAACAGAACCGTCCAGCTGCCCGCAGAAGCCATGCAACAGCCTCTCAACTCCTCCCTCCCCAAGACCTCCTCTTCCAGGGGCTCATGCAGGGGAGGTAACTCCAGGAGTCCACGTCAGAGCCCAAACAGCACCACCAGGAGTCGGAAAGTCCGGTCTCCAAACCCTTCGTTGAGGGAGTCGATACAACAGTCGGAGAATGCACGGCAAAGCGGAGGGTCAGCTGTTGGTGGAGACCTGGCATCACAGCTGCAGAACATTGTGCGCTCGGAGATGAGGAGAATCATGGAGGTTAGTGTGGAGGGTAAAATGTGTACTTCGATGGTCCCGATGCCTGTTGCACAGAATTATCTATTCTCAAACAGCTAATCAATAATTAATGCGATTATTGGCATGTATAAAATCTGTGTAGGTATCCAGTAAGGCTGGGATGGGTAACTCGGGTACTTGGGTCGGGTGGGTCCTAACTAGGACCTGGGTACCCACAGGACTACCCGGACCCCTGGTTATACACGTGATATATTGTTTAATGACAAAAATTATCTAAAACTCTATGGTTACACTATTAGTCACTAATGTTCCCATTTCTTTCTGACAGTGCACCAATTCCTTCTGACTTTTATACTTCAGTGTATGCATGACCAGATCGTTTTACTTACTCGCCAGGACTAAGGTCAAACTTTTCCATATCGGACAGTTTGTACCTATCTCTAAATATCAACTGTGGGTATCCAGGTAGGGTCGGGTAATAAGGTGGTGGGTACCCGGGTCGTAAATTTGGACTCGTCCCACCCCTAGTGTCCAGTCAGAATTATCATGGACTGGCACTGGCAAGGTAGAGTTTTGAGGGTGATGTTATAAGAAGGCTGCCTTCTAGATGGCAGATGACGTTTTGTTTTAGTCAGTTTTAAGTCTGTGCTTTTCTAAACAGCAATATTTGGAGGCATGTTGTGGTGGCATGTGGTCCTGTGCACAGCGCCCAGGTCACAAATCAGGTGAAGTTTAGGAACGATGGTCGTGGTTAGTAGTTGGATGGGTGATCAAGTTTGGCAGCTTGACTCCTGAGAGTTTCCAGGGCTTCTGTCCTGCCCCGCCCTGAAGCACATGTAGCACTTGTGGTGTCTCCCTGGGCATGTGTCTTTGTTTGAAATATGCCTCTGTTCACTCAATGGTAAATGGTTACCTGGTAGGATTAGATGGCAATGTGATAGTACCTCACCAGGCAGCTTGGGTTGAGTGAAGATGAAAATTGAGTGCACGCTGAACCACTGACTCCTGTAATGATGTTTGAGCATGCTTAGGGATAGATTTGGCGCTGTACAAATTAACATTGTTATTATTTAAGATAGTTATTAGGGGTAATCTGATTTGGGAAAGTTTTAATATATATTCTATACCTGCTGATGACTGATGAATAAAACTCACTTTTCCTGCCAGGTTCAACACAAGAGCTTGATGGCGATGATGGGTGCTATTGATGGTCCCGATGCTGAGAGCTATCCTGTCACACCTCAACAACAAGCTCCATCCTATAGAGGTCAGGACAGGTCAATGACTGTGGACGACCTTCACCGCTCACAGCAGCCCCCAATAAGAGGGGTGTTGAGAGAGATGCGGAACTTAAGAACAACAACAGAACACTCCAATCTCCAGCGTGGCCTTTCACCAGGGAAAGAGAACTCTCTGCCACTTGGTATATCTGACTTGAGACATCCCGCTGATTCTTCCTTCCCCAAATTCCTACGAATACCAGCAGAAAGAGATATCAACGATGGCTTCAAACTACCTCACATCCCTGTCTCAGCATGGAATGATCCGACCCAACAGCACGGGAAGGGAGTTCCCGAAATGCCGTTACTTCATCTCAATCAGGCTCCAGCCAATTTCTTTCAAGGTTTACATAAGACAACTCCGGGGCAGTTCCCCATCCATCCCCCGCCATATGACCACAGTCAGTCCAATCAGTTATCATCTCAAGATGGCCACCTTGGGATGCCGTTGCTGAAAATGCCCAAGCAAGAGTCAGCCTTCCTGAACATCGGACAACCACAAGGATTTGGCCGCTTGGTCCCACCGGAGTATGTGATCGGTCACCACCAGGAGGTCCACCAGAGGGAGCTGGAAAAGCAGCGCCACCTAGAGGAATTTCACAAACAGTATGTCAAGGAGCAGACGGAGATGGACAAGCAGCGGTTCGGCCAGCAGCTTCTCAGTGTGAAGACACAGAGAGTACAGGAGAGCTATGGAATTAAGAGAAGGTAGAGATCGACAGAAAAATGGTTGCAATATTATAAATGGTGCTGCTTTCAAACTTAAAAGAGAAGTTCGCTCGTCAGGCCGAAGACCCGGGTTCGAATCCCGACATGGGTACAATGTGTGAAGCCCATTTCTGTTGTCCCCCGCCGTGATATTGCTGGAATATTGCTAAAAGCGGCGTAAAACCATACTCACTCACTCACTTAAAAGAGAAACTGTTTTTTGTGGTTTGTTGCTATGCTTTTGACATTATTGAGGTAACATTTTGTGTGTCTTTCAACCACAGGGGCAAGGGTGACCATGTGGTCTATGGTTCTGCAATTGGCTTTGTTGAGTTGCTTCCGTTAGTTGTGCAGTGACCATTAGTTGGAACCCCCAGATTAGCCCTAGGTGTGATTCTTAGCACAAAGAACATGATCTTGGGTTCCACAAAAGTGGTAAATGTCTACGACCTGTATGACTTTGAACTCCTACATGAAGATGACGGACATTACTGAAAGACTGTTAGCACTGAACCATACTCACTTAGTTATTTTACCATGTCAGCTCAGAGATGGAAGTGAATAGTTGGACATTACTGCATGCTAGTAAGAAATAGTTTTCAAAGATGTATAGCAAGGTGCTGCAGTTAGTTGTGTTGAGTTGTGTAATCTATGACTGGTTGGAATCCCAGATTTGCCCTGATTATGTTTCTTGATATGTTGGCATCATGCCAGGTGCTGTGGGTTTTAGCAATGTCATAACATCTATACCTGCATCACTTTCTCACATGAAGCTGGTATGCAGGGATATAACTTAAATACTGTTCGAAGTGGCATTAAACCAAACTCACTCACTCACTCACTCTTATGCATTCTGTTATTCCACAGTCCACGAAGAGTCAGGAGAATCAAGTCTCCCCCAGAAAAGCCAGCAGCTCAAGTAAGTGAATAGTCTTTACCCACATGCTTCAAACTACATGCAGCACAAGTAAGTGAAGAGTCTTTACCCACATGCTTCAAACTACATGCAGCTCAAGTAAGTGAAGAGTCTTTACCCACATGCTTCAAACTACATGCAGCACAAGTAAGTGAAGAGTCTTTACCCACATGCTTCAAACTACATGCAGCTCAAGTAAGTGAAGAGTCTTTACCCACATGCTTCAAACTACATGCAGCTCAAGTAAGTGAAGAGTCTTTACCCACATGCTTCTAACTACATGCAGCTCAAGTAAGTGAAGAGTCTTTACCCACATGCTTCAAACTACATGCAGATCAAGTAAGTGAAGAGTCTTTACCCACATGCTTCAAACTACATGCAGCTCAAGTAAGTGAAGAGTCTTTACCCACATGCTTCAAACTACATGCAGCTCAAGTAAGTGAAGAGTCTTTACCCACATGCTTCAAACTACATGCAGCACAAGTAAGTGAAGAGTCTTTACCCACATGCTTCAAACTACATGCAGCACAAGTAAGTGAAGAGTCTTTACCCACATGCTTCAAACTACATGCAGCTCAAGTAAGTGAAGAGTCTTTACCCACATGCTTCAAACTACATGCAGCTCAAGTAAGTGAAGAGTCTTTACCCACATGCTTCAAACTACATGCAGCTCAAGTAAGTGAAGAGTCTTTACCCACATGCTTCAAATTACATGCAGCACAAGTAAGTGAAGAGTCTTTACCCACATGCTTCAAACTACATGCAGCTCAAGTAAGTGAAGAGTCTTTACCCACATGCTTCAAACTACATGCAGCACAAGTAAGTGAAGAGTCTTTACCCACATGCTTCAAACTACATGCAGCTCAAGTAAGTGAAGAGTCTTTACCCACATGCTTCAAACTACATGCAGCACAAGTAAGTGAAGAGTCTTTACCCACATGCTTCAAACTACATGCAGCTCAAGTAAGTGAAGAGTCTTTACCCACATGCTTCAAACTACATGCAGCTCAAGTAAGTGAAGAGTCTTTACCCACATGCTTCTAACTACATGCAGCTCAAGTAAGTGAAGAGTCTTTACCCACATGCTTCAAACTACATGCAGATCAAGTAAGTGAAGAGTCTTTACCCACATGCTTCAAACTACATGCAGCTCAAGTAAGTGAAGAGTCTTTACCCACATGCTTCAAACTACATGCAGCTCAAGTAAGTGAAGAGTCTTTACCCACATGCTTCAAACTACATGCAGCACAAGTAAGTGAAGAGTCTTTACCCACATGCTTCAAACTACATGCAGCACAAGTAAGTGAAGAGTCTTTACCCACATGCTTCAAACTACATGCAGCTCAAGTAAGTGAAGAGTCTTTACCCACATGCTTCAAACTACATGCAGCTCAAGTAAGTGAAGAGTCTTTACCCACATGCTTCAAACTACATGCAGCTCAAGTAAGTGAAGAGTCTTTACCCACATGCTTCAAATTACATGCAGCACAAGTAAATGAAGAGTCTTTACCCACATACTTCAAAATACATGCAGCACAAGTAAGTGAAGAGTCTTTACCCACATGCTTCAAACTACATGCAGCACAAGTAAGTGAAGAGTCTTTACCCACATGCTTCAAACTACATGCAGCTCAAGTAAGTGAAGAGTCTTTACCCACATGCTTCAAACTACATGCAGCACAAGTAAGTGAAGAGTCTTTACCCACATGCTTCAAACTACATGCAGCTCAAGTAAGTGAAGAGTCTTTACCCACATGCTTTATAAACTACATGCAGCACAAGTAAGTGAAGAGTCTTTACCCACATGCTTCAAACTACATGCAGCACAAGTAAGTGAAGAGTCTTTACCCACATGCTTCAAACTACATGCAGCACAAGTAAGTGAAGAGTCTTTACCCACATGCTTCAAACTACATGCAGCACAAGTAAGTGAAGAGTCTTTACCCACATGCTTCAAACTACATGCAGCTCAAGTAAGTGAAGAGTCTTTACCCACATGCTTTATAAACTACATGCAGCACAAGTAAGTGACGAGTCTTTACCCACATGCTTCAAACTACATGCAGCTCAAGTAAGTTAAGAGTCTTTACCCACATGCTTCAAACTACATGCAGCACAAGTAAGTGAAGAGTCTTTACCCACATGCTTCAAACTACATGCAGCTCAAGTAAGTGAAGAGTCTTTACCCACATGCTTCAAACTACATGCAGCTCAAGTAAGTGAAGAGTCTTTACCCACATGCTTAATAAACTACATGCAGCACAAGTAAGTGAAGAGTCTTTACCCACATGCTTCAAATTACATGCAGCACAAGTAAGTGAAGAGTCTTTACCCACATGCTTCAAACTACATGCAGCTCAAGTAAGTGAAGAGTCTTTACCCACATGCTTCAAACTACATGCAGCTCAAGTAAGTGAAGAGTCTTTACCCACATGCTTCAAACTACATGCAGCACAAGTAAGTGAAGAGTCTTTACCCACATGCTTCAAACTACATGCAGCTCAAGTAAGTGAAGAGTCTTTACCCACATGCTTCAAACTACATGCAGCTCAAGTAAGTGAAGAGTCTTTACCCACATGCTTCAAACTACATGCAGCTCAAGTAAGTGAAGAGTCTTTACCCACATGCTTCAAATTACATGCAGCACAAGTAAGTGAAGAGTCTTTACCCACATGCTTCAAACTACATGCAGCTCAAGTAAGTGAAGAGTCTTTACCCACATGCTTCAAACTACATGCAGCACAAGTAAGTGAAGAGTCTTTACCCACATGCTTCAAACTACATGCAGCACAAGTAAGTGAAGAGTCTTTACCCACATGCTTCAAACTACATGCAGCTCAAGTAAGTGAAGAGTCTTTACCCACATGCTTCAAATTACATGCAGCACAAGTAAGTGAAGAGTCTTTACCCACATGCTTTATAAACTACATGCAGCTCAAGTAAATGAAGAGTCTTTACCCACATACTTCAAAATACATGCAGCACAAGTAAGTGAAGAGTCTTTACCCACATGCTTCAAACTACATGCAGCACAAGTAAGTGAAGAGTCTTTACCCACATGCTTCAAACTACATGCAGCTCAAGTAAGTGAAGAGTCTTTACCCACATGCTTCAAACTACATGCAGCACAAGTAAGTGAAGAGTCTTTACCCACATGCTTCAAACTACATGCAGCTCAAGTAAGTGAAGAGTCTTTACCCACATGCTTTATAAACTACATGCAGCACAAGTAAGTGAAGAGTCTTTACCCACATGCTTCAAACTACATGCAGCACAAGTAAGTGAAGAGTCTTTACCCACATGCTTCAAACTACATGCAGCTCAAGTAAGTGAAGAGTCTTTACCCACATGCTTCAAACTACATGCAGCACAAGTAAGTGAAGAGTCTTTACCCACATGCTTCAAACTACATGCAGATCAAGTAAGTGAAGAGTCTTTACCCACATGCTTCAAACTACATGCAGCTCAAGTAAGTGAAGAGTCTTTACCCACATGCTTAATAAACTACATGCAGCACAAGTAAGTGAAGAGTCTTTACCCACATGCTTCAAATTACATGCAGCACAAGTAAGTGAAGAGTCTTTACCCACATGCTTCAAACTACATGCAGCTCAAGTAAGTAAAGAGTCTTTACCCAAATGCTTCAAACTACATGCAGCTCAAGTAAGTGAAGAGTCTTTACCCACATGCTTCAAACTACATGCAGCTCAAGTAAGTGAAGAGTCTTTACCCACATGCTTCAAACTACATGCAGCACAAGTAAGTGAAGAGTCTTTACCCACATGCTTCAAACTACATGCAGCTCAAGTAAGTGAAGAGTCTTTACCCACATGCTTCAAACTACATGCAGCTCAAGTAAGTGAAGAGTCTTTACCCACATGCTTCAAACTACATGCAACACAAGTAAGTGAAGAGTCTTTACCCACATGCTTCAGGAAGTACTATTAAACAAACCTATAATAGAGGTAATTCAACTTCCAAGCCCAACTTGAGATTGATGAATGTCACTGAACAGTGTCCTGTCTATCGCATCTCCTCAGTGAGTGTATGACCTTTATTATCTGCACATTATGTACATGCAATGTCGTGATGACATAGTCAATCTGTCTATGAGGGAGTGTGGGATAGCCTGGTGATCAAAATGTTCATAATATCGAAGACAGGTATGGGAAGTCTAATGTTGTATGTAATATTGCTGAAGTATGGAAGCAGCCTAAATCCAACTCTCTGATCAAGTAAATCCATCCCACTGATCAGGTAGTCAAGAGACTGTGTGAGTGTGATGTGTTTTACTGATGTTGTAATACTGTGTGCAGAGTGCTGTCCATGATGAGTTGAGTCCGGAGAGACAGATGGAGAAGACTGAGGAGGAGATAGAGGAGAAACCTCAGGAGGAAGAGGTGGAGAGAGAGGAAGAGGAGGAGAGCTTTGAGACAGAGGAGGAAGAAAGTGGGCAGGAGATTGATGATGGATATGCTCTCAGGCCTGGTGAGTAGAGTTCTTGACTGGCGGCACAACAATGAAGGGTAGCTATGCATGATTTTAAGCATTTTGTAGATCTTGGTTCAAGTCCCAGTGGGTACAGTTTGATGCCGCAAGCTCTGACATTGCTCGAATATTGCTTAGGAGATATGCCTCCTTCAGACTGACTCACAAACTCACATAATGCAGTCTCTTTCATTATTATTTATAGAAGTATTCAGATTGATGGTTGATTGTTGATGTGTTTTTATCCAAGGATGAGGGTATGTCACCAGGTTGTCTTCATATATCTAAAATTATCAATATTTGTTTTTATAAATTGTCAGTTTCTCATCTTTCTTATCAGTTGAACCCCAAACTGAGTTAGAATAGGTTCCCAGCAACCATGGTTGGGATGGTCAGACTCAGAGACATTGTGTGCATCATTTGTTGCCTTCTCCCCACTTCAGGTGCGTTTGATGCGTATCTGCACCTCGGCCGGGCTCTGGGAGTCAGGGACGACAACACAGCCGCCGGCTTCCAGTACCAGCTGGCCATGAAGATGAAGGAACAACAGACCAGGAGGAGGAGGAAGGTGAGCAGTGGGGACAGGGGCAAGGCGAGGGGTGGTGAACAGTGGGAGGGGTCGGAGCGCGTTGTGATGGTTTGAGGGAGGGAGAATGCTGGTTTCCAGGTTTTAGGAATGGATGACTCAGTACTAATCCCAGGTGGCAGTATAAGTGTGTAAGGGGAGATCTTATCCTAAGGGTGCAGTTTGGTGAAGTGATGGTGATGGAAGGGCTAGGATGAGATGTAGGGTGGGCATAAGTCAGATATTCCATTACTCTATGTCACCACAGAAATGGAATGAAAAATCAACACGGATGGGATCTTTTAAAGATGACTTACCTACATATGTTACAGGTTGATTTTGCCACCATGACACGAGAGTTGGTTGATGGGGAGATGTCGACAGACCCTGCCATGGAGGTTGTACGCACAGCAGAGGCAGCCACATCAATAACGAGGGATACAGGTGAGATGAGTGGGGACAGGTGAAAAGAGATAAGACACAGGTGAGGGGAGAGGGGAAGCAGGTAGGGGGTCAGGGATACAGGTGATAGGAGATTGGGCAGGTGAGGGGAAGGGGGAAACAGGTAGGAGGTCGGGGACACAGGTGAGAGGAGATGGGACAGGAGAGGGGAAACAGGTAGGAGGTCGGGGACACAGGTGAGAGGAGATGGGATATGTGAGGGGACAGGGGAAACTGGTAGGAGGTCGGGGCTCACAGGTGAGAGGAGATGGGACAGGTGAGGGGAGGGGGGAAACAGGTAGGAGGTCGGGGACACAGGTGAGAGGAGATGGGATATGTGAGGGGACAGGGGAAACTGGTAGGAGGTCGGGGCTCACAGGTGAGAGGAGATGGGACAGGTGAGGGGAGAGGGGAAACAGGTAGGAGGTCGGGGACACAGGTGAGAGGAGATGAGACAGGTGAGGGGAGAGGGGAAACTGGTAGGAGGTCGGGGCTCACAGGTGAGAGGAGATGGGACAGGTGAGGGGAGAGGGGAAACAGGTAGGAGGTCGGGGACACAGGTGAGAGGAGATGGGACAGGTGAGGGGAGAGGGGAAACAGGTAGGAGGTCGGGGACACAGGTGAGAGGAGATGAGACAGGTGAGGGCAGAGGGGAAACAGGTAGGAGGTCGGGGACACAGGTGAGAGGAGATGGGACAGGTGAGGGGAGAGGGGAAACAGGTAGTAGGTTGGGGACACAGGTGAGAGGAGAAGGGACAGGTGAGGGGAAGGGGGAAACAGGTAGGAGGTTGGGGACACAGGTGAGAGGAGAAGGGACAGGTGAGGGGAGGGGGGAAACAGGTAGGAGGTCGGGGACACAGGTGAGAGGAGATGGGACAGGTGAGGGGAAGGGGGAAACAGGTAGGAGGTTGGGGGACACAGGTGAGAGGAGAAGGGACAGGTGAGGGGAGAGGGGAAACAGGTAGGAGGTCGGGGACACAGGTGAGAGGAGATGGGACAGGTGAGGGGAAGGGGGAAACAGGTAGGAGGTCGGGGACACAGGTGAGAGGAGATGGGACAGGTGAGAGTAGAGGGGAAACAGGTAGGAGGCTGGGGACACAGGTGAGAGGAGATGGGACACAGGAGTGGTGAGATAGTCATACAACAGGTTCGACATGAGTTAATATCAATATCAATGTTAAAAATTGTATAACATTTTGAGAGAAATATTTCAGAAAAAGATATACATATATCCTTGTTAAATCAAAACTTTTTATTTATATCTGAACTGACTATGCCAAAAAAGTGTTTTGAAGGTTGCTTTATAGAGACATCCACATGCACGGACATGTGTCAGTAAGTTATAACATTGGCAGTTCAAAGTGGACTGATTGCTTCCTGTCTTGTTCCAGGTGTAGACCCAATCCAGGAGGCCCTGATTGAGTATAATCAAGCCATGCAAGGGACGGTAGTGCCACCCGATGTCTTCTTGGGGCTTCGGTTCCCAGATGGGGAGGCTCAGCCTGGATCAGGAGGGGCCCCTGGAGTAAGTGGAGTGAGTGAGTGAGTGAGTAGTGGGTGAGTTTTGGTGGGTGAGAGAGCGGGCTTGGTCAGGGTTGGTGGGTGGGTGAGTGAGTGAGTGAGTAGTAGGTGAGTTTTGGTGGGTGAGATGGGGCTTGGTCAGGGTTGGTGGGTGGGTGAGTGAGTAAGTGAGTAGTAGGTGAGTTTTGGTGGGTGAGCGAGGGGGCTTGGTCAGGGTTGGTGGGTGGGTGAGTGAGTAAGTGAGTAGTGGGTGAGTTTGGGTGGGTGAGCGAGGGGGCTTGGTCAGGGTTGGTGGGTGGGTGAGTGAGTGGGTTGGATGGGTGAGTGAGGGGGCTTGGTTAGGGTGGATGGATGAGTGGTTGGGTGGGTGGGTGGGTGGGTGAGTGTGTGAGTGAGTGGGTGGGTGGGTGGGGGAAATGACTTTGAGTGAGTGAGTGAGTGTTATGTCTGTACTACTGCTACCTGCCTAAATGAGTCTTGAGGGTGTGATGACACAATCAGTCAGGCCACACATTTTTACCACAAGGTACACAATAAGGACGGCTCTTAATGGGTTACTGAGGAACTTGTCATCCCCACAACACTGAGAGGAAAAAGAGGATGATAAGATCGGTTTAATGTTTTCATGCCTATGGTATACTTTGCTCGTGTATCAAACATGATAGAGGTGGATATTGTGATGGTTGATATAGGGTAGTTATTGAGGTTGGAATGTTGATTTCTTGGTAACTGCCCTTTGAGTCAAAAGGGCCCCAACTAAATTGGGGACTGGGGCTGATAGTGTGTCATTATTCACAAGGGTGTTGGAAGGATGCTTTCAACCATGGTGTTGTCTTACTTGATTGTTTACATCCACTGATGTATAGTTGTATGTTTGTGTAAAACAACACTCATCGTTGACTGGTTTGTTTGTGTGTTGTGAGACATGAGTAGTGTGCTGTAGAGAAGTGAGGACACTGTTACATGATGTTACAGGAGAAGGGGCCAGGTCGTTCCTACCTGAACGTGGTGGACATTCGAGCATCTGCTGTGATGAGAGATCTGGCGGAGAGGCCGGCCGAGGACAGGATACAGCCGGACATCAGCCTCAAACCTTCCTCCATCTCCGCTACTGCAGCACGAAGGATGGGCCAGAGGATGGGTGAGTGTTCCCTCACAGCTTGCATTAGGAACAAGCCCAGGCTTCCCGAGGCAAGGGAGCTAACTGACTATATAAGTCCAGTTTCCACCCTTGCTGAACTAGGCTGGAATTTCAGCGCTCAATCGCAGCGCCACCAGTGGCTATTACGAGCTATGTCCCTCCTCTGTCCCTCCTCTTTCAGTCCTATTGAGGCTGGAATTATGGAGTTATAAAATGGCAGGACTAACGAGTCTCTGCATAGCTCAATCAAAATAGTGTAACGAAATCGACATCCGGTTCGTAAACTGCTGTTTGAAAAGCATGTGTACCTTCAACATGACGTCAACAGAAATTTTCAAAATCTTTTCATGTTTTTAATCACGGTGCTCACGTGTTTTGATGCACTTCGCAGAGTAATACCCGATTTATTACTATATAGATCTTGATTATTGATCAGATCGTCTAAATTGGGTGCCGCCATTTTGTTTGAAGTTTAATGAGAGATGGAATCCGATTGGTCAATAGGAGGGACAAAGAAGAGTCATAGCTCGTAAAAGCCACTGGAGGCGCTACGATTGAGCCCTGAAATTCCAGCCTAGTTCGGCAAGGGTGGAAACTGGACTTTTTACAGTCAGTTAACTCCCTTGCCTCGGGAAGATGAACAAGCCCTTGCATGACGGCATTGTGTTTCTGGTGATTGGTAAGTATACACAAAAACATATTGACACATTCAACATTTATAGATCAAGGTCATCAGGTGAAAGTCTTCTCCTAGGGATTTTGTGACACCCTCATCCTATGATGTGACTGAATCCTCTTATCATGTTTGTTTGTTTGTTGTTTAATGCCACGCTCTTATCAGGTAACAGAATCATCCTATCATGTGACAATCATCCTATTATGTGACAATCCTTCTACTATGTCACAATCATCCTATTATGTGACAAACCTTCTATGTGACAAACCTCTTACTATGTAACAATCCTCCTATTATGTGACAACCCTACTATGTGACAGTCCTCCTATTATGTGACAACCCTACTATGTAACAAGCCTACAATTATGTGACAATCCTCCTGTTATGTTTCACTATTCCTATAATATGACAATCCTTGTTCTATGTAACAATCCTTTTATGTGACAATCTCCCTATTATATGACAATGCCCCTATTGTGTGACAACCCTACTATGTAACAATCCTCATAATTTGTGACAATTCTTGTACTCTGTAACAATCCTCCTATTATGTGACAATCGTTGTACTATGTAACAATCATCCTATTATGTGACAATCATTGTACTATGTGACAATCCCCCTATTATGTGACAACTCAACTATGTAACAATCCTCCTACTATGTAACAATCCTCCGTTTATGTGACAATCCTCCTTCTATGTAACAATCCTCCGTTTATGTGACAATCGTTGTACTATGTAATAATCCTCCTATTATGTTACAATCATTGTACTATGTGACATTCCCCCTATTATGTGACAACTCATCTATGTAACAATCCTCCTACTATGTAACAATCCTCCTATTATGTGACAACTCAACTATGTAACAATCCTCCTATTATTTAACAATCCTCCTACTATGTAACAATCCTCCTATTATGTGACAATCCTCCTACTATGTAACAATCCTCCAATTATGTGACAATCCTCCTACTATGTAACAATCCTCCTATTATATGACAATCCTTCAACTATGTGACCATCCTCCTATTATGTGACATCCTTCTGCTATGTGACAATCCTTCTACTAAGTGACAATCCTCCTACTCTGTGACAATCCTCCTACTATGTAACAATCCTTCTTTTATGTGACAACTCAACTATGTAACAATCCTACTATGTAACAATCCTCCTATTATGTAACAATCCTCCTATTATGTGACAATCCTTCTACTATGTGACAATCCTCCTACTATGTGACAATCCTTCTACTCTGTGACAGTCCCCCTGTCATGTGAAGTCCTCCTACTATGTGACAATCCTCCTGTTATGTGACAATCCTCCTTCTACGTGACAATCCTCCTATTATGTGACATCCTTATGCTATGTGACAATCCTTCCACAATGTGACAGTCCTCCTGTCATGTGAAGTTCTCCTATTATGTGACAATCCTCCTACTACGTAACAATCTTCCTACTATGTAACATCCTCCTTCTATGTAACAATCCTCCTATTATGTGACAATCCTCCAACTACGTAACAATCCTCCTATTATGTGACAATCCTTCAACTATGTGACCATCCTCCTATTATGTGACATCCTCCTACTATGTGACAATCCTCCTACTATGTGACAATCCTCCTATTATGTGACAAGCCTTCTACTATGTGACAGTCCTCCTATTATGTGACAATCCTCCTACTATGTGACAATCCTCCTATTATGTGACATCCTTCTGCTATGTGACAATCCTTCTACTGTGTGACAGTCCCCCTGTCATATGAAGTCCTCCTATTATGTGACAATCCTCCTACTACGTGACAATCCTCCTATTATGTGACAATCCTCCTACTATGTGACAATCCTCCAATTATGTGACAAGCCTCCTACTAAGTGACAATCCTCCTATTATGTGACAATCCTTCTACTATGTGACAGTCCCCCTGTCATGTGACAATCCTCCTACTATGTGACAATCCTCCTAATATGTGACAGTCCTCCTACTATGTGACAATCCTCCTATCATGTGACATCCTTCTGCTATGTGTCAGTCCTCCTGTCATGTGACAGTCCTCCTACTATGTGACAATCCTCCTAATATGTGACAGTCCTCCTACTATGTGACAATCCTCCTATCATGTGACATCCTTCTGCTATGTGTCAGTCCCCCTGTCATGTGACAATCCTCCTACTATGTGACAATCCTCCTAATATGTGACAGTCCTCCTACTATGTGACAATCCTCCTATCATGTGACATCCTTCTGCTATGTGACAGTCCTCCTACTATGTTACAATCCTCCTATTATGTGACAGTCCTCCTACTAAGTGACAATCCTCCTATCATGTGACATCCTTCTGCTGTGTGTCAGTCCTCCTATCATGTGACATCCTTCTGCTATGTGTCAGTCCTCCTATCATGTGACATCCTTCTGCTATGTGTCAGTCCTCCTATCCTGATTCCTCCGATGGTGTTTGTGTTGTAGATGCTGTAGAGGAAGGTCTGCGTGAGGACTTGGAGCCACCTCGGCGTTACCATCATGATGCCGTCACCGTCCGAATGTTTGAGTCTCGGCAGGCTGGGGAAGACAGGTAGGTGATGCTGGTTGAGTGAAGGGTGTCCTGATCCCCAAAGCTATAATGTGTCACGTTTATTATTGGTTTCTCTGATGCCTTCAGTAAACACTGACCTTGTTGTTTATTATGTCACAGAGTGTCGGTTGCTCTGATGCCTTCAGTAAACACTGACCTTGTTGTTTATTATGTCACAGAGTGTCGGTTGCTCTGATGCCTTCAGTAAACACTGACCTTGTTGTTTATTATGTCACAGAGTGTCGGTTGCTCTGATGCCTTCAGTAAACACTGACCTTGTTGTTTATTTTGTCACAGAGTGTCGGTTGCTCTGATGCCTTCAGTAAACACTGACCTTGTTGTTTATTATGTCACAGAGTGTTGGTTGCTCTGATGCCTTCAGTAAACACTGACCTTGTTGTTTATTTTGTCACAGAGTGTCGGTTGCTCTGATGCCTTCAGTAAACACTGACCTTGTTGTTTATTTTGTCACAGAGTGTTGGTTGCTCTGATGCCTTCAGTAAACACTGACCTTGTTGTTTATTTTGTCACAGAGTGTCGGTTGCTCTGATGCCTTCAGTAAACACTGACCTTGTTGTTTATTTTGTCACAGAGTGTCGGTTGCTCTGATGCCTTCAGTAAACACTGACCTTGTTGTTTATTTTGTCACAGAGTGTCGGTTGCTCTGATGCCTTCAGTAAACACTGACCTTGTTGTTTATTTTGTCACAGAGTGTCGGTTGCTCTGATGCCTTCAGTAAACACTGACCTTGTTGTTTATTTTGTCACAGAGTGTCGGTTGCTCTGATGCCTTCAGTAAACACTGACCTTGTTGTTTATTTTGTCACAGAGTGTCGGTTGCTCTGATGCCTTCAGGAAACACTGACCTTGTTGTTTATTTTGTCACAGAGTGTCGGTTGCTCTGATGCCGAGAGGAAGCATGAGGGAGTCCAAGGTGGCCATGATCCGACGACTTCGAGAAATGAACGAGCAGATGCATGCCATAGACGAGATGTCAAACAACATGGAGTCAGACTTCATGAACACCCATCTTGTGAGTGGCTGAGCGTTTGTTCCTCTGGAAAAAGTATTTATGCCTCATTCTCTGAGAATAGTTGATGCAGTTAAAATGTGTTATTCAAAAAGATTTTTGAAAACATAATTGCATTTATCCAATGAATAACCCTTTTTTTAAATTTGTCAGAAAAATCAGATTGTGGCTGTAGGAAACAAAATATATGTGGAGATTTTAACTATTGACTGGTTTCCAGATGCTCAACACCCTGGATGCAATGGTGGATGCTGCACATCCTTCAGCTCAAAGGAGGGTAACTTCAGATTCAAGAAGTTCCTCACCATTAAGAGATTCTCAAGAGGCAAGTTGTTGCTTATTTTTCAAGCCACAAATTCTGATTTTATTATGTCACACCAATGTAAGCATTCCTAAAATAAGGTATAACTGACTGCACTTTGCTCCACTTGAGCTTGTGTTGACTTCTGTTTGTCTCAAGCAGGGCCGTGTATCAGGCAGACTGACACCAAAGTCTTCCCAGAGATCTCCTCAGCCAAGCGCCAGATCAGCACGCTCCAAGAAGTCGACCAGGACCAGGTAACCCCCAGCTTATACCATCACAGAACGACACTGAACATGTCCTCAGATGGCATCTAGATGTTGAGGGTTAAGGGAGACTGTTGGTATGATTGTGTGGTCACAGCGAAACTCAAACTCTGATGTATCAGGAATCCTTCATGACAAATCTTAATTGAAGAATGAAGGGTGAAGGGTACTGCCAAGAATTAAAAGTCAAATTATCAAAGATAGACGATATGAAACAAATAAGTGAGTGAGTGAGTGAATATGGTTTTACGCCGTTTTTGGCAATATTCCAGCAATATCACGGTAGGGGACACCGGAAATGGGCTTCACACATTGTACCCATGTCGGGAATAGAACCTGGGTCTTCGGCGTGACGAGCAAACGCTTTAACCACTAGGCTACCTGACCGCCCGAAACAAATAAGTGAATGATTTAATAAGGATTTTCCTCATTCAGTTTGTTGACTCATGGTGATGAAACGGACATATTGTTAAGATGCTATGCACTTTAGTCAGTATGTTGAGTCCATCGATCTTAGCATTTCTGTAACTAGATGTATTTCAGAAAGTTTGAGTTAAAGTATGGATTGTGCATGTTTAAAGGTATGCGAATATTTTCACTTGATGGGCAGATACTGGTACCCTCACAACTAAAGTCAGCCGTGATTAACCGTCTGTATGTCATTGTGACCCTTGTGTATGTCCACTATCTCTGTGTCTCTGTTCAGTGCGGATGCAAGTCACATGTCTGGCCTGAGCGGCATCAGTGACATCATCGGTGAGGTCATCGCCGGCGGGGGTGTTGACCTTGCAGAGGCTGGAATAACCACTGCAGAGGCTGAGATGTTGGCTTATAAAGCCAAAGGGAGGTAAGTGCTGGATGGAATGTATTGATCATGTATTACAGGAAATATCAGATCACAGTACCAATAAGTCCTTTCATAGCGTTCAAATACCTAAAAAAATATAAAAGGCAGCACTAAATATTCCGAGAATAAGAACAACAATGAGAGGTGACTAACGGCATCGGGTGGTCAGGCTCGTAAAGTTGATGCATGTCATCGAATCCCAATTGCGTGGATTGATGCTCATGATGTCAGTCATTGGATTGTCTGATCCAGACTCGATTATTTACAGACCGCCATCATACAGCTGGAATATTGCTGAGTGAGGCGTTAAACAACAAACAAAGAAACAAAGATTATCCCATCTGAGAGTTGTGAAGGATGGGTATGAGACAATAAATCTAGTTTAGTACATCCTGACTCCTCAAATTGTATTTGGTTGCATAAAGATGAGCTTCTGCATTTCTGGTATTATGGTTGTTGTGCAGCAGGGCTGCGGCGGATGAGAGGGTACGCATGAGTGTGGAGAAGCTGCAGCAGATGGTGACCCAGGCGCAAGGGAACGCCAACCAGAACGACCAGGAACGCCAGAGGGAGCTGCAAGACTGGATGGCGGAGAAGTACTCGGAGAGACAGCAGGAGTTCCGGAGACAGAGAGCCGAGCTACGGGAGAGGGAAGTCAGTCCATTCAAACCAAGCAACCTTGTCACAGAGGTATGTGTAAGACAGAAGGCATCAGTTACATGTGTATCCCTTGTGTGATGAGAAGGAGAGTGAGTGATTGAGGACAGATAACTCTGATAGGTAACCAAGGTCTCTGAAGTTAAAAGAGGCCTGTTTTGGGTTCTGTGTAATATGATCAAAGTGAAATAGAAAATTGCAATGCGTTGTGTCAGGAAAGGTATACTAATATGAATGTCCAAATTCATGTAATTTCATATGACTATGCTTTGTATGATGTGAGGGCCTGGGAGAGGGGTCATCAGTTCCAAAGTTAATACAATATAATATACTCTAATGAACTCACACAAAGTCAGAAACATCAAGTCTAAAAACACTGTTTGTGCTTCCCTTTTTGATCAATTTCGATATCGTGGTTTCTTGGATAAGGAGTAAAATATTGCTTGGATAATGTTTGGGCAAGTAAACTTCCAGTGGGCTACTGAAAGCTCCATTTGCACTTGCCTTATGTTATGTATGCATTATGATAGTATTTGACCCTTTCCTTCATATATTTTTATACTGTTATACAAAACAATACGGTTTCATACTCTGATGTACCTGCAAATGTCGATGGTTGCAACTAATACTTGTGTTCTATGATGCAGGCAACACTAAGGAGCAGAGCACTTCAAGAAGCTGAGAAGGAGCGAACAGCATTCAGGAAGAACACTGGCAAGGAGAACATGGAAAGACGATTTGAAGAAGCTGAGATGCTTCTTGGAGATATTTTGGTTGACAAGCCACAACTTCCTAAAGAACAGCCTTCACGGAAAGCTCCACGTAAAGTTTCACCCAAGCGAACATCGTCCCTGTCACCGCAACGTACTTCATCTCTGACCCCCAAGTTCAAGAGGAAGACTTCCCCGCCGAGGGCAGGACAGAGGGTGCTTCGACCAACGCTGACCGATGCAAGTCCAACTTTGTCACTGAGGTCCAGGAACTTGGAAAGAACGAGGGTGATTCAGACCGACTTCAGGAGGACCCCGAGTCCCGATAGTCCCACGAAGAAGGGCATCCTAAAGACTTCCGACAACTTTGAGGAACGACCAAGACGCCAGGATGGTGTTCTCGCCTTCTCGGATGAAATGTTATTGGAACAAGGACTTGACTCAGACTTTGACAGAACAGGTGGTTCCACAGCAGGTGAGAGAAAACCTATGTTAATCTATACAGTTATGTCATGGAACACTGCCAAAAAATCTATATAATCACTATTTGATTTACATTGACACTTTAACTGCCCTTTGACCCGTATAAAACTTCCTTAATGCATTCGTGAGGATGGGGCCCTGCTTTGAAAAGAGTTTGGTCACAACAAGTCAAAGGTCGGTCATTGTGATAAAAATGAAATACTGATAAAAGAGGCTACTCACTTTTAGCCAGGGTGTGAACCTGAGGACATCGATCTTATCGCTCTGTTACTTACAGTGCTGTTAGTTTGAGTAAAAACATGATTTGTGCATGTTTACGAGTATACAAGTGTTTTCACATGAATAGCAGAAGCTAGTGTTCCAGATTTTGTAAAACATGGATAGTGACATGAAAGAATCGGGTGTATTTTTACTTCTTTTGAGTAGTATATATTGTCTCTGTTTCTGATGATACACTGTTTCACTCCTGACATGTTTCACTCTCTTCGTCAGATCTTCTGAGTTACGCTCGCCATGTGGAGGAAATGGATGACAAGCCTCTGCCCTTTGAAGGCTACACCAAGGACTCCAGATCAGAACCCAAGAAGACCAATGTCCCTGTGAAGCCCTACAAGCCCAAGTCCTTCACCGAGCTGGTGAGACTGCAGCGACCCGAGAAGCTCCGGACAGGTCCAGTGAAGCGGGCGGGGCCCAACTACGTTGAGAGGCTGTCTAGTATGAGTCGGCAGAACACAGCACGTGATTCCACAACGGAGGAAAAGGAGAGGCTGTATGGTGAGTGTTATGTGTTGGCTGTTGTTGCTGTTAGTGTTCACCGCAGGACTCGGATCCTGGTATCCCATACTTGTCAATTGCTGCATGTGGCGGAGCCTTGTCATGTGGATAGGGCTTTATCATTAACTGTGTATGGGAACGTGCTGATCTCAGATTGAAAAGGGGCATCTGTTGCTGATCTTGGTGGAACAGGGCATCTATTTGCTGATCTTTGTGAAAGAGGGCATCTATTTGCTGATGTTTGTGAAAGAGGGCATCTTTATGCTGATCTTTGTGAAAGAGGGCACCTATTTGCTGATTTTTGTGAAAGAGGGCACCTATTTGCTGATGTTTGTGAAAGAGGGCACCTATTTGCTGATCTTTGTGAAAGAGGGCATCTTTATGCTGATCTTAGTGAAATAGGGCATCTATTTGCTGATTTTTGTGAAAGAGGGCACCTATTTGCTGATCTTTGTGAAACAGGGCATCTATTTGCTGATCTTTGTGAAAGAGGGCATCTATTTGCTGATGTTTGTGAAATAGGGCACCTTTATGCTGATCTTTGTGAAAGAGGGCATCTATTTGCTGATCTTAGTGAAAGAGGGCATCTATTTGCTGATCTTTGTGAAAGAGGGCATCTATTTGCTGATGTTTGTGAAATAGGGCACCTTTATGCTGATCTTTGTGAAAGAGGGCATCTATTTGCTGATCTTAGTGAAAGAGGGCACCTATTTGCTGATGTTTGTGAAAGAGGGCATCTTTATGCTGATGTTTGTGAAAGAGGGCACCTATTTGCTGATCTTTGTGAAAGAGGGCATCTATTTGCTGATTTTTGTGAAAGAGGGCATCTATTTGCTGATCTTTGTGAAAGAGGGCATCTTTATGCTGATCTTAGTGAAATAGGGCATCTATTTGCTGATTTTTGTGAAAGAGGGCACCTATTTGCTGATCTTTGTGAAAGAGGGCATCTATTTGCTGATCTTAGTGAAATAGGGCATCTATTTGCTGATCTTAGTGAAATAGGGCATCTATTTGCTGATTTTTGTGAAAGAGGGCACCTATTTGCTGATCTTTGTGAAAGAGGGCATCTATTTGCTGATCTTAGTGAAATAGGGCATCTATTTGCTGATCTTAGTGAAAGAGGGCATCTATTTGCTGATTTTCGTGAAAGAGGGCATCTATTTGCTGATTTTCGTGGAAGAGGGCATCTATTTGCTGATGTTTGTGAAAGATGGCATCTTTATGCTAATCTTAGCGAAAGAGGGCATCTATTAGCTGATCTTTGTGAAAGAGGGCATGTGTGTGTGTAACGGAAAGGGGCAGAGGATACTGTGCTGATCTTTGTGAAAAAGAGCATCCCGGACTGAATATTGATATTGCTGAGTTTGGCTAATGCCTGGCAACCTCCAGCTGTTGTGTTGTTCATTTTGGTGATGGTGCTCAGTCTATCAACTTGGGCTGGGATGAGTCCTAATTTACTACCCAGGTACCCTGACCCTACCCGGGTACCCGCTGTAGGTCTCAAGAGATGGGTACAAAATGTCCGATTGGGAATAGTTCGATTGTAGCCCTTGAAAAATGTATTTAGACACACGTATAAAACGATCTGGTCATGCAAACACAAAAGTTGACTGAAGTTTTATCTTTATTAACCATATAAAAGTCAGCAGGAATGCGTACATAGTCAGAAAGTAATGTGAACATTAGTGACTTGTAGTGTAACCATGGAGTTCTTGATAATTTATGTCATTAAACAATATATCACGTGACTAACCATGGGTCAGTGTACTCCTGTGGGTATCTGGATCCTATTCAGTACCCACCCGACCCGAGTACCCGAGTACTTACTTGTACCAGCCCTAATATCAGCCAGTGGTCCCTGGACTCAAGATTTATTATACTTTACATCCCATGAAAAACATTCATTGACCTGCTGTTTGTGATGTGTGTTGATGAAGGGACTTGTTTCTTGTTGATTGTGTTCTGAGATGTGAGTGAAAGCCTGTTAGTGGAATGTAATCCTGATATATATATGCCCTATGTCCAATTCCTTGCCATAGTTTCAAGGATCGTTGACTAATTGGATGCAAGGATGTAGACAGTTGATTTCACACTGATGATGTGGTTATCTCAACTTGATTTGCAGGTTCTAAGCACATCCCTGGCACAGCGCGGAAGGCGGCCACAGGGCCACGGCGGGTGAAGACGTACGCAGAGCGTCTACAGGAGATGAAGCCAAGGACGCAGTACTCCACGCCAGTCGTCCCCAGACAGCATGTCCCAGAGTCAGGTCAGTAGGAAACACACCTCTCTAATTAATTACACTTTGGGGAAGGATGCCTGTCATAAGGGCTTAGCCAAAAGAATCCTGCTTGATATGCTGGTAGCCTGCCATCTTGCCCAGTGGCGTATCTTTTGTTTATGTTTTCAATCACTATCTTTTCTGGTCCTTACTCAGTTTGAAAACCACTGTGATAAACAAGATAAAGCTAGATTATTGCTGACATCAAACAACATTTACTCTCTTTAGATTTTTGTTTTGTGAAAATGATATGGATAAACATGCATTGTGATCATGAAGAAATTTCGATAGCGAGTCATGTCATTGGACCGTGATACTTTGTGTTACTGTATCAGATTCCTGCTGTTTGAAACCCCGATAACTGTCTATGTATTAGATGTGCAGCGCAACTTCAAGTCAATCAAGTTTGTAGCAGGGAAATAGCTCCCTAAACTTGTCTGTACACAAACTGAACTGAACTATACAGTGAAACTCCAGAAGTATGCTTAACAAACTGGTGGTTTCTTTCAGTTTGTTATGTCTAGTGTTGCAAGACAACCATTATATTTCATTCCACTACTTATAAGACATGGTGCCACTGTTATTGGTTTTTGGTTTGACTATTTTATCACTATTTTATCACTTATTATGATATCCACCTATTTGGTCACTGTGTTATTATAATATCCATTTATTTTATCACTGTTATATTAGCCACCTATTTTATCACTATTTTATAATTCTACCTATTTTATCACTGTTATTAAATCCACCTATTTTGTCACTAAGTTATTATAATATGCACCTATTTTATCACTGTGGTATTATAATATCTACCTACTTTATCACTGTTATTATAATATCCACCTACTTTATTACTATGTTATTATAATATCCACCTACTTTATCCCAATGTTATTATAATATTCACCTACTTTATCACTGTTATTATAATATCCTCCTACTTTATCACTGTTATTATAATATCCACCTACTTTATCACTATGTTATTATAATATTCACCTACTTTATCACTGTTATTATAATATCCACCTACTTTATCACTGTTATTATAATATCCTCCTACTTTATCACTGTTATTATAATATCCACCTACTTTATCACTATGTTATTATAATATCCACCTACTTTATCCCAATGTTATTATAATATTCACCTACTTTATCACTGTTATTATAATATCCACCTACTTTATCACTGTTATTATAATATCCTCCTACTTTATCACTGTTATTATAATATCCACCTACTTTATCACTATGTTATTATAATATCCACCTACTTTATCCCAATGTTATTATAATATTCACCTACTTTATCACTGTTATTATAATATCCACCTACTTTATCACTGTTATTATAATATCCACCTACTTTATCACTGTTATTATAATATCCACCTATACACTGAAACTCCAAGTGCAGTGGACTGTTCAACTACAGTAGCGGTAGTTCAGCCAATATTATAGAACAATTAGGATTCTTCTTGGACTGTATATGTATGTTTATATTTATCTGTTATGAAATATAGATTTAATGAAGTTGAAGTCAACGATCTGTTCTATGTTTGCAGTGAGAACACGCTCAGCGGGCTGGCAGGCAACGTATCGGAAGCCAACTCCTAAAGGTCCCAAGCACAAACCCCAGACCTACGTGGAACAGCTGAAGAGACTGAATGCCAACTCAACCTCGCAGAGAACACTGAAAGGTGAGGAACCCAGAGCAGTGGGGGGGAACAGGCTCATCATACTGGTGCTGGGAAATCATGGACTCCAGAAAGTCGGCTTTATTTGTTGATATCACTAGTTGTCTTTGGATACTCATGATGTCAATCACTGGATTGACTGGTCCAGGTTCGATTTACAGACTGGAATATTGCTGAGTGGGGCTTTAAACAACTATATGTCACCTGACTGACTGTGTGTTACCTGTCTGACGGTGTGTCACCTGACTGACGATGTGTCACCTGACTGACGGTGTGTCACCTGTCTGACGGTGTGTCACCTGGCTGATTGTGTGTCACCTGTCTGTTGGTGTGTCACCTGTCTGACAGTGTGTCACCTGACTGACGATGTGTCACCTGACTGACGGTGTGTCACCTGTCTGACGGTGTGTCACCTGGCTGATTGTGTGTCACCTGTCTGTTGGTGTGTCACCTGTCTGACGGTGTGTCACCTGACTGACGATGTGTCACCTGACTGACGGTGTGTCACCTGTCTGACGATGTGTCACCTGTCTGACGGTGTGTCACCTGACTGACGTTATGTCACCTGACTGACGGTGTGTCACCTGGCTGATTGTGTGTCACCTGTCTGATTGTGTGTCACCTGACTGACGGTGTGTCACCTGACTGACGATGTGTCACCTGACTGATGGTGTGTCACCTGGCTGATTGTGTGTCACTTTTCTGACGATGTGTCACCTGACTGACGATGTGTCACCTGTCTGACAGTGTGTCACCTGACTGACGGTGTGTCACCTGGCTGATTGTGTTTGACCTGTCTGATTGTGTGTCACCTGACTGACGGTGTGTCACCTGTCTGACAGTGTGTCACTTTTCTGACGGTGTGTCACCTGTCTGACGGTGTGTCACCTGATGATGTGTCACCTGGCTGATTGTGTGTCACTTTTCTGACGGTGTGTCACCTGACTTACAGTGTGTCACCTGACTTATGATGTGTCACCTGTCTGACGGTGTGTCACCTGATGATGTGTCACCTGGCTGATTGTGTGTCACTTTTCTGACGGTGTGTCACCTGACTGACGGTGTGTCACCTGACTGACGATGTGTCACCTGACTGACAGTGTGTCACCTGACTTATGATGTGTCACCTGTCTGACGGTGTGTCACCTGATGATGTGTCACCTGGCTGATTGTGTGTCACCTGGCTGATTGTGTGTCACCTGTCTGACGGTGTGTCACCTGATGATGTGTCACCTGACTGACGGTGTGTCACCTGACTGACTGTGTGTCACCTGACTGATGGTGTGTCACCTGACTTATGATGTGTCACCTGTCTGACGGTGTGTCACCTGATGATGTGTCACCTGGCTGATTGTGTGTCACCTGGCTGACGGTGTGTCACTTGCTGATTGTGTGTCACCTGATGGTGTGTCACCTGGCTGATTGCGTGTCATCCTACTGCATGCACTCAACCACTGTGTTTTATAGTCCTGGCTGGATCTGTTTTGTTTTAAATTTTATACATATATACATTAAAATTAATATTTAATAGGTTTTAAGTTCTGACTTTCTAATGCTTCTAAAACAAGAGTTGAATAAAGATCCAGCAACTATTTCAACCCTATTGGTTTTGAAGGCTTCTTTTCTTCAGAGAGAGGGGGCACGGGTGGCCCAGTCGTCCAAGGCTCCGCGATTTGCTGTGCAGAGATGCATGACTACGTTTTGATACCTTGTACATATCTCAAATTCATCCTCAGTCTAAATAAATACAAAAACAATGGAATTTGGTTGGGTTTTATATTTGAATAATTTTATTGCAAGATAATGCTCATTAAAGAAATAGGGGGCACGGGTGGCCAGGGCATCTAAAGCGCCGCGATTCGATGTGCAGAGTTGTGTCCCTTGGGCTCGCCAGAAACCTATGATTGTGGGTTCGAATCCCGGTTCCCCCCGATTATGTTTCTAGGTTTGTCAGCACCATACCCGTGCTCGTGGGTTTCACCGAAGTGGTAAACGTCTGAGACCTGCATCACTTCGGGCTTTCCCACATTAAGCTGACACGCCCTGATATAACTGGAATACTGTTAAAAGCGGCGTTAAACCCAACTCACTCACTCACTCACTCTTCAGAGAGATGTTGTGAAATTGTTGTGATTGAAGTGGTTGTTTGTCATGGTATAGACTGGGTTTCGTTCCCTCATGTACCCTGGATGAAGACCTTTCTTGGTGTCGTTGTTTGTCATGGTATAGACTGGGTTTCGTTCCCTCATGTACCCTGGATGAAGACCTTTCTTGGTGTTGTTGTTTGTCATGGTATAGACTGGGTTTTGTTTCCTCATGTACCCTGGATGAAGCTCAACATAATATTGCGGGAATATTGCTAATGATGTTGTAAAACAAGACTCACAAGAGTAACAATACTAACCTCACTTCACAGGAGGCAAGACAGTGACCATCCAGCCCCGCACATTCATGAAGGCAAGAAAGCCGGCCCATCCTGCCAAGAATTATGTGGAACAGTTGCAGGACATCAATGCACAAGCTCCAGAAACTCTCAGGCGAACAGGTAACCATTAACCATCATTTTGTGAATATGCTGTGCTGTGAATATGCTGTGTTTTATTCGATAAAGCATATGCCTGACTTGTGATTGGTCGTAGCAAATTGTGTCACAAAATTTAATATTAATACATGACTGAAGTGTATATGATGTATGTAATAAAAAGTTTTTGAGCACAATTAGTATGTAAATGTGAAGAGATTCTTCATGAATATTTTTGGTTAAAAAATGTTGAAGGGACACAATATTGTTTGAATTACTTTTGTTTAAGTCACAGAATCTACATGTGTATGTTTTTCACTTGTTGCAGCCCAGAGCCGCAGATACCCAACTGGAAGGGGTGTGACTCGGCCCCGCCCCTACAGCACCCCCTACAGGTCGATGGAGGAAGATATCGCTGAGGGATGGGAGGCGAGGTCCGAGGTCAGCGACTGGGTCATGGAGGATGATGTCCGACAGTTGCTGTATGCAGAGGATGATGCGTCTGTTGTCTACACGGTAAGTACAAACGTATGATGATGTGAAGGCTGTCTGTGAGTTGACAATGGGTATCATGGTGAATGGTATTTAGAGTGGTCATCAAGTTAAACACCGGGGTTTGATTCCCCTGATCCCTCCCTCATTCACCAACCAAACCCCAACCCTCCTCCTTCCCTCACAAAAAAAGAAATAAAACCACCACCAACAGCAAAAACACCTGCCCAACAACCCTCCCACTAACTCTCCCGCCCAAACACTCACAAACCCACCCAACAACACACCAGCCTCACTTACAAACCTCCCACACATCCACCCACGCACTTACCCAACCAACCCAAAGTCCCAACCAACCACCACATTTCCCTCCCAACTTTCCCAAACACCCACACACTCAACGACCTGCTCAAACAACCAAACCCTCCAAACAAGAAATCATTCACCCACTCATCCACCTTGACCTTGCCTCCAACCAGTGTATAAAATTTCCCCAAATTTCAGTCAGACAACCCGACTGGCAACATTGCAAAGTTACCAGACCAGATAAAATGTTGCCAGTCCAGAATTTGCTGGTGTAACGAACCAAAATTATAAAAGGGTAAAATTAAGAATAGTTCAGTTTAATGTTAGTTCTCAGAAAATAACAATAAACTGTTGGATTGTCAACTCTGTAACTTTAACTCCTGACCATTGGGCGTGCAACTTTTCAACTGACCGTCCATCAGCAAAATAGAGATCAATGCTCATTATGTCAATCACTGGATTGTCTTGTCCAAACTCGATTATTTACAGATCGCCATCATATATCTGGAATATTGCTGAGTGCACGTTAAACAACCCCCAAAAGATTTAATGCAACAGCCCATCAACTTGCCCAAACACCTCAACAACCTGCTCAACAACCCACGCACACACAACCCTCCCACAACAAATCATTCCCCCACCCATGCACCTACACCCTCCCTCCATCCCACTCACTCACTCACCCACTCACTCACTCAATGGGATGGTCGAGAGCCATCCACTCACTCACTCAATGGGATGGTCAAGAGCCATCCACTCACTCACTCAATGGGATGGTCAAGAGCCAACCACTCACTCACTCAATGGGATGGTCACGAGCCAACCACTCACTCACTCAATGGGATGGTCACGAGCCATCCACTCACTCACTCACTCAATGGGATGGTCACGAGCCATCAACTCACTCACTCACCCTGTACAGTAGTCCCCCCTCAGTGAGGAGAGGGGCGGTGGGGTAGCCTAGTGGTTAAAGCGTTCGCTCGTCACGCCGAAGACCCGGGTTCGATTCCCGACATGGGTACAATGTGTGAAGCCCATTTCTGGTGTCCCCCACCGTGATATTGCTGGGATATTGCTAAAGGCGGCATAAAACCATACTCACTCAGTCAGTCAGTGAGGAGACTTTTTGGCAAACTCGTCATATGGCTGAAATATGCCTACCTGTACCATCCATCCACTATGTCATAAGCCACCCACCCACACCTGGTTATGAAAGATGAATAGATGAAGCTGAAACTCTACTGTTTTCCGTGCTAGGTGGGAGGAACAGCCTCAGCCTTGGACTACCCGATGTCCGACGGTAGGTCCGACTACTACAATGAAGTGATGGGCGAGGACGACTACCTCTACCCCAACTCCGTCGACGTTGACGAGATATGGGACATTGCTGATGCAGCCTCCATCGGAAGTGGCAGCGTGGCCAGTGTCATAGACTGGGATGCAGTGGATAGGCTCATTGCAGACGAAGATGATGTGTAGTCTTCATGCATGCATGTATTAATGGGGCATTCTTGTGGAGTTTGTGCCCTTTTGATATGATACAAGGATCGCAATGATGGTTACCGTATTCGGGTACTCTCAACATTAGAAATAAGGGGCTCTTATTAGAATATTATTTTGGTTGAGAGATAAATTTCTTGGTTTTTGCTGACAGCATGAAATGTATATATACGACAGATGTATTTTTCCTGAATGTAATTGCCCCTAATTAAGGGTGCATATAACACATGAGTGCGTATTATACACAAATAAATAAGACTTTTGTACATTGATCAATCGGAAGGGGTGCTAATTGAGATTGTTCACAAGTAGATATATTAGCAAATATCGCCGTGGGCACTTATTAGAGTGGGGCGCTTATTATGTCAAATACGGTATGTGTTTTGGATGATGGAGCTTTAGTAATTTCAAACTGAAATCTTGTATTGCAAATTGGTCTCAGCAAGAGAAAATTGTAATGCCTCCGTGAACAAAGATTTTGCTGTTTGAATGCAAATAATTGAAGTTTTAGATAAATGAAGCACAATGTTGTTACTATCTATAATCATTACACCCCGATGTATCCTGTGGGTCCACGACTCCTGCATACTTTCCTCATGATATTTTGATTCCTCTGTTCTCCTGTACAGTTGATGCTTGTGACCTCAGTTAGCTGTCTGTGATATTATTTCATTTATTTATCTGGTTAATGTAGATATTGTACACAAAATGTTTTATTTAAGTATTTAAGAGCAGTAAATCTTTAGTTACCAAGTAACCCGCTCATTGTATGTACAGTGATCTAAATGCTCAATTCAGCGGGGACATCACTCGCTAGTTGGAGACATTAACTGGAAATAGTGATAGCTTTATCCAGATATCAGTGAATCCATCCAGACATTTGTCACTTCTTTTATACAAGAGAAATAAAGTACATATATATTCACTGGCTTTCTGTTCTCAGTCTTCGAGGGTCGGTCGGGTAGCCTAGTGGCCGTAGACCCAGGTTTGATTCCCGACATGGGTACAATGTGTGAAGCCCATTTCTGGTGTCTCCCGACATGATATTGCTGGAATATTGCTAAAAGCGGCTTAATACCACACTCACTCACTCACTCACTCTCAGTCTTCGCACAACTGGACAAAAGGCAAAATGATATTTCAGAACTTGAAGATATTGGGGGTGGGGTCGGGGGTTCATAGATAATATGTCAGATTCTTCATTATGTGGATGAAAAAAGTTCTTATATGAAAAGAATGCCTCTGTACTGTGTTATAGTGGGAACAGAATCTACCTCGCGCTGAAGGTCATAGGTTCGATCACCTATCTGTACCCATCTTCCCGAGGCAAGTGTGTCCACTAGCCTATATCAAAGCTAGCATCTTCCCGAGGCAAGTGTGTCCACCAGCCTATATCAAAGCTAGCATCTTCCCGAGGCAAGTGTGTCCACTAGTCTATATCAAAGCTAGCATCTTCCTGAGGCAAGTGTGTTCACTAGCCTATATCAAAGCTAGCATCTTCCCGAGGAAAGCGTGTCCACTAGCCTATATCAAAGCTAGCATCTTCCCGAGGCAAGTGTGTTCACTAGCCTATATCAAAGCTAGCATCTTCCCGAGGCAAGCGTGTCCACTGGCCTATATCAAAGCTAGCATCTTCCTGAGGCAAGCGTGTCCACTAGCCTATATCAAAGCTAGCATCTTCCCGAGGCAAGCGTGTCCACTAGCCTATATCAAAGCATAGTTTCTACCCTTGCCACATCAAGGCTACTTTTCTTGCTTGACCCTGGCGTCACCTCACTTGTTGTGTTGTGCCCCTTGTAAGGAAAACTCCAATCAGATCGCTGTTTAGCTTCACAAATATGGCGACTACCATTGGCGACGACCTAGTTCATCAGATAACAAAAACATTCGCGATTTTATCCCTGACATAAAAACAGGCAATCGTTGGGGGGTTTTAAAAGACGAAAAAACAAATTTGTGTCAACAAAGACAGTCAGCGGTAAATCACCTTTATTTGAAGGTGTACCAGTTTGTGGATGTTGATTCTGTGAAACATTCTCTGATTGGACTATCGATATTTACATTTAGTGGGGTAGCACTCTGGTGCTTTGTGGCGGGGTTCTTGTGGGCTACACTGCTAGTAACAAATTAACTTGCTTCCAAATTAATACTCGTGCTTAAGGCTACCTGCTTTTCAGCGGGAACCTTTCCGGGGTTACCTGCTTCTCAGTGGGAACCTTGTCTTTCCCGACTTTTCAGCCGGGAATCCTAAAATGACATATGTTGGGGCAAACAATTGCCATGTATATGGGCCCGGCGGCGGAAGTCGTCTTGTCAAGCGGTAGCTGACAGTTGGGTTCACGGCGGTAGTCGCACAATGGTTTTGCAAAGGGGGCCAGGCAGTGGGATCTGCTTCGGCCGGCTACCTGGGGCCGGGCAGCTGTAGTCTGACTTAGGCCAGCAGCGTGGAGCTGCTTTTGGCAGCGTGGTAGTTGCCAAGCAATGGTAGCGTTTAAATATGCTACCGTGGGGGCCGGACAGTGGTAGCAGTCTCAGGCCAGCAGCGCAAGCTGCGAATCGCTGTTTGCCACGCTAGTGGCCATGGCAACAGTAGCATTTTGGTATACACAATTAGCAGCTTAGTAGCCCACTAGTACCTGCACACCCTTGGCCATTTAACCCAATCTCATCTTCTGTTTTTATTATAGGCACGGGCGTCCACGGCTCGGTGGATAAGTGCGATAGTCCAATCATATGTAGCACAGGAAAGTGGGCTTCATGTAGCAAGGGTGGAAACAAGACTTTGATGAAAAGGCTTGTGGACGCTCTTGCCTCAGGAAGATGGGCTGACCATGCAAATCGACAGTAAAGCACGGTACTACTTGTTACCCTGCCTGGCGCTCTGCATGAAGGGGATAAAACAAAAATAAGTCGGCTAGGACTCGGTCATCTTCCCGAGGCAAGTGAGTTAACTGACTATAAAAGTCCAGTTTCCACCCTTGCCGAACTAGGCTGGTATTATGGAGTTACATTTTGGCTGGGCTAAAGAGTCTATGCATAGTCCAATCAAAATCGCGCACCGAAATTGAAATCCGGTTCGTAAAGTGTCATGTAGATTTCGGTCGACTGCAGGATTTGCAAAGCATGTGCACCGCTAGCTCGTTTTCAACAGATATTTTCCAAATCTTTTCATGTTTTTAATCAAGGTGCTCACGTGATTTGATGCACTTCGCGATGTAAGACTCGTTTTATCACAATATAGATCTTGATCATCGATCAGATCGTCTTGACAGGGCGCCACCGTTTTGTTTGAAACAAATGCAAGTGATGCGAGAGGTGGAATCTGATTGGTCCACAGGAGAGGCATAGAAGGGACATAGCTCGTAATAGCCACTGGTGGCGCTACGATCGACCCCAGGAATTCCAGCCTAGTTCGGCAAGGTTGGAAACTGGACTTAAAGTTAGTTAACTCCCTTGCCTCAGGAAGATGGGACTCGGTATACTGTACGTGTCTTGATGGGTATCCATGTTAATCTGTAACATGGTATCAGTGGGCTAGCATTATCAAACCAGCTTTAGTGCGAACACATGCACCCCTAGCAACTTTTAATTAGGTCTGGAAAGATGTCCATGTGGAATCTTTTCAGTCTTCTTTTAGTCACTCCTAAAACATGACAAGGTCAGAAAATAAAACATTTTTATTTGAGTTTGTACATATCATGCATAGAAAAATGTAGGCATAAAATGCCCCTGCTTGGCACCATACAAACATTTTGACTCCCCCCCCCCCCCCCCCCCCCCATGTGGTATCACAGTAATACTGTTTAAGTCACTTAAGTAACAACACCAGACTAGTCCATGGCTGAGGGATGATGGCACAATACATTTACACACACACCTACTGTCTAACTGTTACTTTCATAAAGTTCATATTTTAGCTATGAGGAAGAGAATTTATGGATGTCAGCTTCTTTATTATGCTTACTTCTTCATCAGATGAATGATGAAGGAGTAAGTATATACTCCTAAACATTGTGTTCCTCATAATAAAGAAGCTGCCATCCATAAATTCTCTTCCTTATGTGTATCACTTCTATATGCCATTCAAAGACTTAATTACCTATAGTGCATATCTGACAACAGATCTGTGGCAGCTAACACACAACCAAATATATGTTCCAGAAAGATAGCATTACCTCAAAACCTGTGGAATGTTCACTTATTTAACAAGTTTTAAAACAAAATAATCGTCACTTTACGTATATATTATAATAATATTTTGATTATCACCAATACTGATACATGTCACATTACTAATCACATTTCTAATCCTCATACACCATGCAAGTTACAAGTGAAGATCTGGGGTCGCATAGGTCTTCAGCAACCCACACTTGCTGTAAATGGCAACTATGCTTGTTGTAAGAGGCGACTAACGGGATCGGGTGGTCAGGCTCGCTGACTTGGTTGATACAAGTCATCGTATCCCAATTGCGTTGATCGATGCTCATGATATCAATCACTGGATTGTCTGGTCCAGACTCTATTATTTACAGACCGCCGTCGTATAGCTTGAATATTGCTGAGTGCGGCTTTAAACAAACAAACAGTACAATCTCAGTAACAAACAAACAAAGAAACCCACAAGTTACTCAAGTGGTGCAAAATGTTTGTTTAACTGCAGTTTTCATATTTCAGCAAAATCCTCCTCTTCTGGAAGCTCAACTGTTTTGTAGATATTGAGATGGGGATAGCCTACAATCCTGAATCAGCAACCATCAGGCCAATTGGTTCCAAGTCAGGCATAACACTGACCCTTCTACCCCCTGATTCATGACATGGAGTCGACATAGTCATCTTCCTGAGGCAAGAGAGTCAACTGACTTTAACTTTAACCAGTTTCCACTGGACTTTTATAGTCAGTTAGCTCTCTTGCTTTGGGAAGATGTAACATAGTCTGAAAGTGTATTTTCCAATTCTTTTCTACAGAGGCTAAAGATATTTATCTGCAATCGTGGTCATTTTCGTTGACATTATCGAATAAATGTATATATTATAGAATGTTGAAAACTCATATATACACTGGACAGTATCTGTTTATGTAAATATAAAGAAATACTGTAATTCATTGGCAAGATTTTGATGTTCATCGCATGATTTAATCATCGAGGGTGGGAAATATCCAAAAACTCGGTCAGAACGATTATATAAAATGTGTAATAGCCAATATATAGAGGATGAATATCACTTTTTACTTGTTTGTCCATTGTACTACACTGTGAGACAAAAAAGATATTCCTGTATACTACTTTTAATGATATAAATTCTGACAATTGTTAAACAGTCTTGATAAATTAATAATACAAAACTTAGCCATGTATATATTCCATGCACTGTTATATAGAACCAAATTTGTAAATATTAGTTAAGACTGTGTGCAACATCTCTGTGGCTTATCTTGACAAATGGGTACACTTCTTCATCTTCTCATACTCTTCTCTTCTGATACCGTGTCTGAATGGGGAATCCATGTTAACTGTGGCTTGTCAGCCAATATATGATGCATGCATATGACACCAAAAAAATGACAAGACATGCACACCATGATATATAACAGCACCAGTGTGGCTTTTGTCTTGGAACTGTACCATTTTCGTTGTCAGTTTGATTCAAATACCTGCAACATACAATAGCCTTTTATAATTGCAGGAATAAACATTTTGGTAAATTCGAATTGAGTATTAATGCATGTGTACTTGGATAGTCTAAGACTGTTATGTCTTCCCCACTAACACTTCATTATGGAGTAGGGGCGGTCAGGTAGCCTAGTGGCTAAAGTCATCGCTCGTCGGAGACCAGGGTTTGATTCTCGACATGGGTACAATGTGTGAAGCCCATTTCTGGTGTCCCTCGCCATGATATTGCTGGAATATTGCTAAAAGCGGCGTTAAACCCAACTCACTCACTCACTCACTCACTCACTCACTCACTCACTCACTCATTATCGAGTAGAGCTCATTGACAGGTGACACATGCTACCTGACATAGGTGAGTGATGTAATATTTCCTGAAATGTCTCTGGAATGGTATTGCCATCCCAAAATGATGATGCATTGTAGCCACTGATGCAATGAACAATTTCAATGGAAAGTTTAGCTTCCTATTTATGAACTTGTTCATTGAAAATATCTTGAAAAAACATAAGAAATATATTTCTATTTCTGAAAGTATTTAAAAATTACCCCTTTGTCATTTAATATGATTTAATGCGAAGACACATCCATATTTAATGGGGGCACAGTCGTCTAAGGCGCCGCGATTCGCTGTGCAGAGTTGCGTGCCATGGGCACACCAGAAATCTATCATTGTGGGTTCGAATCCTGGTTCGCCCCGATTATGTTTCTAGGTTTGTCAGCACCATACCCGTGCTCGTTGGTCTCACCAAACTGGTAAACGTCTGAGGCCTGCATCACGTCGGGTTTTCCTCCCACATTAAGCTGACACACTGTGATATAACTGGAATACTGTTAAAAGCGGTGTTAAGCCCAACTAACTCACTCATATTTACTGTAAACATGATAAACACGACTTGCAAAGTTTGCTTATACTGTTATGACCGATTGATAATGTGCATACAAACCCTATTCTAGCTAGGAATATGTCTCTACTGGTTGCCAGGAATATGTTCAGGGGCATTCCCATCTTCTTCATGCAGCGGTTAATGATGAAGTATATGATGAACCAGATGGTGTGAAACACGAGACAGTAAAGCCAACCAAACCCCAGAGATACTGAAAGATAAGGCAGTAATAACACCTCATTGCATATTAGTTTGTGTACGTTATGGAGTTTATTGCCTTCATTTGCTTGGATCCACAGGCTTGACATTTGAATAAAGGTAAACGTTTAAGGCTGCTTTGAAAGAAAATTGTCCATGTTTAAGTAACATGAGTTTAGTATTTTGAAAGTAAGAATTACAAAATAATCACTTTGTTTATCCAGGTTCTAGCCAAGTATGAATGACAGTGTGGTAGTGTGGCAACTATACAATTGTTAAGGCAATACATGACAGGTGGCAGGTGGACCCAAGAAGTTTTCAAGGTGGAGGGTCACAATTTTTTGTTGTGGGTGTACATGGGAATTCAGTGAGTGTACATGGGAATTCAGTGGGTGTACATGGGAATTCAGTGGGTGTACATTGGAATTCAGTGGGAATTCAATGACTACATGGGGATTCAGTGGAAATTCAGTGAGTGTACATGGGAATTCAGTGAGTGTACATGGAAATTCAGTGAGTGTACATAGGAATTCAGTGAATGTACATGGAAATTCAGTGAGTGTACATAGGAATTCAGTGAGTGTACATGGGAATTCAGTGAGTGTACATGGATAATCAGTGAGTGTACATAGGAATTCAGTGAGTGTACATGGGAATTCAGTGAGTGTACATGGGAATTCAGTGAGTGTACATGGATATTCTGTGAGTGTACGTGGGAATTCAGTGAGTGTACATGGGAATTTAGTGAGTGTACATGGATATTCAGTGGGAATTCAGTGAGTGTACATGGATATTCAGTGGGAATTCATTGAGTGTACATGGGAATTTAGTGAGTGTACATGGGAATTCAGTGAGTGTACATGGGAATTCATTGAGTGTACATGGGAATTCATTGAGTGTACATGGGAATTTAGTGAGTGTACATGGGAATTCAGTGAGTGTACATGGGAATTCATTGAGTGTACATGGGAATTTAGTGAGTGTACATGGGAATTCAGTGAGTGTACATGGGAATTTAGTGAGTGTACTTCGGAATTCATTGAGTGTACATGGGAATTCAGTGAGTGTACATGGGAATTCAGTGAGTGTACATGGGAATTTAGTGAGTGTACATGGGAATTCAGAGAGTTACATGGGAATTCAGTGAGTGTACATGGGAATTCAGTGAGTGTACATGCGAATTCAGTGAGTGTACATGGGAATTCAGTGAGTGTACATGGGAATTCAGTGAGTGTACATGCGAATTCAGTGAGTGTACATTGGAATTCAGTGAGTGTACATGGGAATTCAGTGAGTGTACATTGGAATTCAGTGAGTGTACATGGGAATTCAGAGAGTTACATGGGAATTCAGTGAGTGTACATGGGAATTCAGTGAGTGTACATGGGAATTCAGTGAGTGTACATGGGAATTCAGTGAGTGTACATTGGAATTCAGTGAGTGTACATGCGAGTTCAGTGAGTGTACATGGGAATTCAGTGAGTGTACATGGGAATTTAGTGAGTGTACATTGGAATTCAGTGAGTGTACATGCGAATTCAGTGAGTGTACATGGGAATTCAGTGAGTGTACATGGGAATTCAGTGAGTGTACATTGGAATTCAGTGAGTGTACATGGGAATTCAGTGAGTGTACAAACTACACAATCATTTCATTGAAACGAATTGAAGGCATTTCTAGTTCAAATGACCAAATGCTAAGTGAGCATAAGCTGTTATTTGCATTTGTTCAAATAGGGTGGTAAGTTAAATCTATAATTATGATTGCACTTGTTGGTTGACATTGAAGGTCCCTTTCACTAGTATCATTATGAATTACATAATAATTACGTATTTGAAGCCTTTATATGTCTGACTGATGGCTGCAGTGTAACAAAACATTTCTTTGGATCTTGTCCGTATCACCACCCCATCCCCTCCCCTCCCATCCAGCTCACCGTTTGCATTGTGGGTATATTCCGGTCTTTCACAATGCACACCCTTAAAACCGACGGGGCAGTCCATGCAAGCGCACGTGATGAAATCACATGTATTGTTTAGGCAAGCCTTGCTGCATTTTACTCTGCATTGCTTCTCGGGGCTGCAGAATCCCTGTGAACATCCATCACTGCATGCTCCCGTTGACCTGTCACATGTGGGTTGTCTATCACCAATGGCTGAACAGTGTCTGCTACATTTAACTGAACAGTTGATCCCATGGTAGCCATCAGCACAAGACGGACATCTGCCAGTGTGTATATCACATCCCCAGCTACAATGTCCAATGCATTTTTTATCACAATAGGGACCGTAATACCCGTTCTGGCATTCTGTACACCTAGTGTCATTGCAATGTTCACAATTCACACTGATGTTTCTGCATGTATCACCTTCCCCGATCACGCCTGAAACAAAATACTATAATGATAATAATACATAAAGATGTTTATTACTTGTCAGTGAAGAGATCACCCGTATAATAAACATACAGCTATATTACACATTGTGTAATACCAAAACGCGTGCTTATGTACTCTCGGAACACGTTTCTAGAACAAATATTGAAAGCTCTCAACATCCCTTGGCTTATTCAACGACATTGCGTGTGGAGTTGATAGATCACTGAGAGGAGCTTATGCACACTCGATGACCCCAGCAACCTTGTTGCTAGGCTGACGTCACATGGCATTGTTTCGCCGATGGATCTTGCAACAAAATTCCACAAATTACGTCATCGGGTATTGTGACGTTATTGTTAACTTTGAGGTGCAAGGCCCGTTCCACAAGGCGATCGTATTGTAGCGCAACGACAGTCGTTAGTCTGTTAAAGTATGTGAGTTGCGATAGTCTTAGCCCTACGATAATTTTGTGAATTCTAAAGGTGGACCGTTGTATGGTATTAAATTCATACGTTTCAAGTTTTGACGTGTTTGAAGTATTATTCTGTTAAACTCAATTGGACTATGCCGTGGATCGTGTAGGTGTCAGCCTATTCATACTCAACAGTATAATTCTTAAAAAGTTATAAATGGCAAGTAATAAATAAAATACGAAACTCGCTCCCTTGTAAAACCAATTTTATGAAACTCGTGAATAGTTGTGGTATACACTCGTTTCATAAAATTGGTATTACACGGGAGCTCGTTTAGTATTCTATATTTATCATCCCAAACTGGCTCCCACAGGAGATATCGCTACAATGAAATTGCATCACAAAGCTTTGCAGACCATTGTGCCGTCATTAGTTACCATGACGTCACAATCAAATGACATCACTAATGACTCTTCTACTGAAGCAGTTAGCAGCACCTTTTACACTTAGACACTGCTTATTACTGTCTAAAAACTGAAAAAAGTTGGAATAATGAATAACATCTCACCCTCGGGTCTTTTGATATGAAATATATCAACACTCGTTGATAAAAGTGGAAAAACTCGGCAAGCCACAGAGTTTTTCCACTTTTATTAACTCGTGTTGATATATTTCGTATCAAAAGACCCGAGGGTGCGATTCTCTATATGTCTAGTAGTGAGGTGAGACAAAACGTTTCAATTTCTATTCTGGCTCATGTATCAGCAGTGACATAAATACAAGTTTTACAATTATTCCCATACATTTAATATTACATTCGCGTAAATTTCATTTTGGACGTTTGTTTGTTGTCTAACACCTTACTTAGTAATATTCTATTTAAATGACTGCTGTCTGTAAATAATCAAGTCTGGACCAGATAATCCAGTGAATGACATCATGAGCATCGTTTTACTCAATTGGGGTACGATCACAGGGTCCCGTAACGCAAAAAATAGCAGCAAAATAAATACGGTTACTAACGGGGTTAAGGTACTATATGAAAGAATACTTTTATTTGGTACTATAACCCCGTTAGTGACCGTATATATCTTGCTGCTTATTTTTGCGTTGCAAGCCCCAGTGGGTACGATGACATGCATCAACCAAGTCAGCGAGCCTGACCACCCGATCCCGTTGATGTAGGTTGCTGAAGACCAATTCTAACCCGGAAATTCACGAGTGAATAATGCACCATGAAACTACTGTTTCCGTCGTTTTATATTCTTGAGAGCTGGAATGGTTGTTTTTTTAAAATAAGAGTACTTGTCACAGAAATATAAAATAATAATTTTGTCCCGGAAAAGTATAATTGTAGACTAATCATTTCTGATTGAATAGTTTTATGTCTTGCAACAGTCACCAAAGACATTTTTTCTGTAACAAAAATTCCAAGCATCCCCCAGAATACTAAATCTTCGGTCCTTAATATAGTAATCGTACTTACGTATCAAACAAGTTAAGAGAATGGATATGTGGCTGACGTGAAATGGCAGCATGTTTAGGACTGACTGCAGGACCAGGAACTCTGCAAGTTGAAAATGTCATCTTCGTATATTGGATTAAAAAATGGGCTTCTTGTATCACGGAAAATGTGCGTCGTCATCACTGCCCTCGAAAGGTTACAAAATGAGTAATCACTACCCCACCCCTACCTTTTACTCCATTCTTCTAACTGTGGCTATTATCACCTAACACCAACAAGGTTTGGGTGTTGTTTAACGCCGCACTCAGCTATATTCCAACTATATGACGGCGGTCTGTAAATAATCCAATCTGGACCAGACAATCCAGTGTTTGACATGAGCTTCGATCCACGCAAATGGGATAGGATGACACGCATCAGTCAAGTCACGTAGCCGGATCACCCGATCCATTTAGGAACCTCTAATCATAGGTCGCTGGGGACCTACATTTGTACCCTGAATGCCCATGGGTTAGACGATATATACATAAAATAGTTCAAGTAAAGAATATATAAAAAAAGAAACACATATTTCAAAACCAACATTGTGGTTATTTTGATTGACTCTAATAGCGTCAGTGCTACTCACACTCCGATTGATAGAGCATATTACACTTCTTATTTTAATGCAAATGTTCACAAATCCTTTTTGTGAAAAATACACATGATTTAACTACATATAATTTTCATCACTGCATTACCAACACGCCTAATGGAATCTGTTTTGGCCGCTAATGGAGACTGATTATTCTCCTGCGTTGATGTTTTGTATTTGTATAAAACGTGGGTTTCCTTATTTAGATAATACGCAAGTGACTCACCTTCAACCGGTCAAAGTATAGTTTGCCCCGGAACGGATTTCCAAACAGGTAATAAGTCCAAATGTACTAAGTCTCCAAATTCATGGAAATACTAAATCATCCCATAACCAACGGAAATCTCTGGTAAAAACACAGAACACTGTACGATTCCACCCACAAATGATCCTGTTGTTTCGCCTGTTTCAGCTGAGCAGCATGTCAAGCAACAGATGATCTAAATATAAACATGATAGAGCTACTGTGCACCTGGCGTATAAACTGCGACGCAATCAATACAGGGAAGACTGACAGGAACGACGTGGCGCAAAGGTAATATTTGACCTTCTATGTTGTAAAGAATATGCTTTTGCTCCATTTGTGTGATAAATTTGATTTGTTCGTTTCATAACCAAAATAATACCCACCGGTCATCTCTGACATCAACAGTACTCCCGATTGTCTACATTGACATCAGCAGTACACCCGACTGTCTACATTGACACCAGCAGTACACCCGACTGTCTACATTGACACCAGCAGTACTCCCGACTGTCTACATTGACATGAGCAGTACACCCGACTGTCTACATTGACATCAGCAGTACACCCGACTGTCTACATTGACATGAGCAGTACTCCCGACTGTGTACATTGACATCAGCAGTACTCCCGACTGTCTACATTGACATGAGCAGTACTCCCGACTGTCTACATTGACATCAGCAGTACACCCGACTGTCTACATTGACATGAGCAGTACTCCCGACTGTGTACATTGACATCAGCAGTACACCCGACAGTCTACATTGACATCAGCAGTACTCCCGACTGTCTACATTGACATCAGCAGTACTCCCGACTGTGTACATTGACATCAGCAGTACTCCCGACTGTCTACATTGACATCAGCAGTACTCCCGACTGTCTACATTGACATCAGCAGTACACCCGACTGTCTACATTGACATGAGCAGTACTCCCGACTGTGTACATTGACATCAGCAGTACTCCCGACTGTCTACATTGACATGAGCAGTACTCCCGACTGTCTACATTGACATCAGCAGTACACCCGACTGTCTACATTGACATGAGCAGTACTCCCGACTGTCTACATTGACATCAGCAGTACACCCGACTGTCTACATTGACATGAGCAGTACTCCCGACTGTGTACATTGACATCAGCAGTACACCCGACTGTCTACATTGACATCAGCAGTACACCCGACTGTCTACATTGACATGAGCAGTACTCCCGATCTACATTGACATCAGCAGTACACCCGACTGTCTACATTGACATCAGCAGTACACCCGACTGTCTACATTGACATCAGCAGTACACCCGACTGTCTATATTGACATCAGCAGTACACCCGACTGTCTACATTGACATGAGCAGTACTCCCGACTGTCTACATTGACATCAGCAGTACTCCCGACTGTCTATATTGACATGAGCAGTACTCCCGACTGTGTACATTGACATCAGCAGTACACCCGACTGTCTACATTGACATGAGCAGTACTCCCGACTGTGTACATTGACATCAGCAGTACTCCCGACTGTCTACATTGACATGAGCAGATGACATATTTAGGATTTATCTGCAGATGGTACGTGAGGGTTTAAGCAAACGACTTCGGCGTTATAAAGCATCATAGTAGCAATACAATCATATCCTTTAAAATAGCCCTTGAGTCTGTTTGCGTGTTTCCATAACATGTCACACGCAACGATTTGTACATTTCCTACAACAGCAAAGTAGGTCACGCTAAACCGATGAAAAGTGTTGTGTTATTTGTATTCTGGCGTTTGTAAATCGCATTTGTATTTCGCATAAGGCAGGTGTGCACTCGTCTCGTCCCGGACTTACTTCCTCAGGGTCTTCAGTCGCCATGTTTTGTCACACGCTAACACTATTCCTGACAATCGCCTTTACTGAAGGTAAGTGCTGCAGTCGATGGTATGTTTTTTGAGTTAGCACTTAACACCTTGCTAAACATGCAATAAATCATTTACATATACAGATATGTAATTTTAGCTTTGGCATTTTGGCATACGATTTGTGATAATCTTCTATGATTAGAGCTTTGAAATACTGTGTACAAGTTTATATTATATTTGTTAAATATATATGATTTGTTTGTTGTTTACGCCGCTCTCGGCAATATTTACGGTAGCCTGTAAATGATCACGTCAAACCAGACAACACTGTGGTTGATAGTATGAGCAACGTCCCACGCCAAGTCATCCAACTCTTACGACACGCATGGATTTCTGAGGCCTGACTCTCACCCTAAAGTCTCACGAGGAGAATACATTTTTACAGATGTATTAGTCTAAAGTGTTTGGAGAGCATCATTAACATCTCATAATTCCTAATATATGACATTTAAGAAATGGAAACACCCGAGAGTAATACTTTCTTTATCAAATCAAACTTAAGAAATCTCGTAAGAATGCAGTGACACAAGTGAACAGACGCATTAATGCAATAGTGTCAACTGACATGCAGCCATGTCCGTTTACATAAGCCTTATCACAACCAAAAACCTCCATCTCAATATGTCGAGAACTGTATGCAAATGTTTTTGAGCAAGCAGGCATCGGATTAATATATACCTAACTAAAAATAGCTCCTGCTAGATACCCCCGTTTGCATATTTTTGGGATTGGTTTATCGTATCGATAACACTATCCATTATATGATAATGTATAATCATAGTGCTCACTTCAATACAATTTCCGATTGTACGTTGTAGTGCACGTTCTGAAATGTTATCATATCGTCCCAGAGTGACTTAATCGCCTTCTGTATTATCTTTTTATGAATTATAGCTTATGAACTAGCCTTCCCTGTTGTACAGTGTTGAGTAAATTATGGTTAAGGAAATCTAGACTATTTAACATGATGTAATCCATAGGTAACAGCGGTAAATTGAGCATTTGTTTAACGCAGCATTTCACATAATGAAATTTATATCATTAATCCCTCATCCCCTTGACCGTGTCCTATGTCCATAAGTCCCATGTTTAAGGTAACGCAATAGTCTCTTCGCCTGTCCATTGTTGCTCACGAGTGTATATATATGTTTACTTTACTGGTAGTTGTCTGGTATTCCGACTGCACAAGTATTTATCAGGATTCGCCTCTTTGCTGGACTCGCCGCTCGACTTATTTCTGTTTGAAGTTGTATTTGTTTTATTACCGACTAAAGAAGGTTGGCAAAATAATGACAGATTCTCATTTATATGGAGTTAATATAACTTCTTGCTGTTTGTTATTTTCTCGAAAATGTTTCGTTTTATACTGTACATTTCTCATTGTTAACCAGACTGTTCGTTTCGCCAAGCGCCATTTTTGTTATTTAACAAGCGTGTATTCTTTCGATTAAAAAAACGGTCTCCTAGTTTTTCAAGAATATATTTTGTTGAAGTTGATTTTGTATATGAAATGTATGATAAAGAATTTTCGTGACCCTAAATATTTTTTATACTTTTGTTTATGTTTTTTAAGATTCTGCAAACAATTAACTACTTTTTAAGTCGCAAATATAAAAGGTGGTGAACCGTCCCTGTGTGTAAGATAGGGAGAATTTACGTTTTCATTTTCCGGCAGAGAAACTAAACAAAAAGTGTACAATAAAGAGGATATTTCATTTGTCTCGTGAAATATCATGTTTCTCTCATCTCGTGAAGTGATATTTTCACGAGTGACGTAGCCACGAGTGAAAATATTTCCTTTCCCCAAGTCACTCGATGAGAGAAACATGATATTTCACTCGACACATGGAATATTCTCTATTTATTATTAATATAAGGAACAATAAACCACATCCCCTTGTTTGTGCTCTGATTCGTGTTAAGGGTACATTTACATATTTTGCCTTGCTTTTGGTGCAATATGTGAGTACAAATATTGTGATATAACACCTTATTCATAGTGTTGTCATAACCTATAGTTGACATTGTAAACGGAATTTATAGTCTATCCTAATTTAGAGTTAATTTACATCAAGCAATGGCATCTGCTTGAATGAAAGTAAACAATTATTATACTCTTGGGGGTCCTATTCAACATATTCTAGGCTTCATAGAAATACAAGTTTCAGGAACGAAAGTCCAGGTAATTTTAAAGCTTAAATGCGTATTTAACACCACAAAAATATCGATAACATAACATATCCTTTGCCATATATTCTGTCTTGCAAAAAAGGTAACCAATTGATTTATTACATATATATATATACGTATACCTCATGCACCACATAATTGTTTACCGATTCGTGACGTTGGCTAACCATTGTAATAATACAAGCCAAACACAAAAACAAACACCCAACGCTTTTATATTGCATATATCTTGCTTTGTACTAATGTATTATATGTAAACATATCTTCCCTTTGAGATGCGGTACGTACATTAACTATAAAATTTAAACCATTCTCATGCACATACTAATGTTAGGTGGTAAAATGGGGTTTAACGTCGCGTCCAAGATTATTGCACTTCTATAGCGACGTGCATACTTGTGTGTGTGTGTGTGTGTGTGTGTGTGTGTGTGTGTGTGTGTGTGTGTGTGTGTGTGTGTGTGTGCTTGTACTAGTCCGGACTGATGCCGATTTATAGTGCTAGCACACTGAAATACCATGCCGCAGTTTAACATGAATACCCCACTCAGACACAGTAAACTGACTCCGAGCCCACCAGTCCTTGTTTTAGCCCCTTAATGCCGAGCGCCAGACAGGGTAACAACAAGTACCATCTTTTCACGTCCTTTGGTATGGCGCGGCCGGGCATCGAACCCCGAAACTTCCGTTCTCCGGGCGGACGCTCTACCACTAGACCACGGAGGCGGTCTCACATAATAATGCATCTTCCCGAGGCATGGGCGTGAACTGACTAAATAATATTGTGGAAACTAAACTTTTTACAGTCAGTTAACACCCTTGCCTCAGGAAGATGGCAATAATGCAGCGCAAACGGGTGACATTCATTTTGGTTTCAGAGGTGATGAGTTGACGTTAACAAAGTAAAGTAAGGATTCTATGGCAGTCAGTTTGAACTCCGTGGAATCCGAACTTCGTTATTATTAGACATACATATTAGAGACAGACTGTATAACATGTTCCGCACATACATGTATACACATGCCTCGTCATTGTGAAGAGTGTTTCGTGTCAGATAAAGGAAAGACGATAAGGAAAAAGCAAATATGGACACCATGTATAAAATATTTATTCAACAAATGAATCCGGGAACATTGGGTCCATGACGTATGAGCCGATCAATAGGGTATTATGTCATCGCTCCTCGACGCCGTGATCCTTTGGATATTTTACTGAGAGTTGATGTAGTATAATGTGATGCAGTGTGGCGTGGGGCGTGGGCTTTCGTGTGTGAGGGAGGGATAGAATCATGTTCAAAATATTTGTTTATTTTACAGTTGCAATATGTGTATCTCTGTCATCAAACGTGCTGTGTGATAAAGAATGCAACGCATGTTCTAGCCACAAATGTTCAGACAACTGCATCAAATGTCCTACTGGATTCTACGGACCCGACTGTACCCGTTCTTGTCCTCCTCACTGTGCAGAAGGGTGTTGTGAGCTCCTGTCTAGTGGTCGGAGTGTCAACTGCACTCAGGGCTGCCAGGACGGGTACAGAGGCTTGACGTGTAACACGCGTTGTAAGCGACCCTGTTTGACATGTGACCGTTATACCGGGGATTGTACTGGGCCCTGCAGGAACGGCTTCTACGGTTCCGGTTGTACACGGAGGTGTTCTCAGCCCTGTGATTACTGTGTCAAGGTAACTGGGGAATGCGTTGAACAATGCAATGATAGTCTCTGTGGCGTTAACTGCACAGTGAATTGCCCCATGGGATGTAAGAAATGTGACAGATACACTGGGGAATGTTTTGAACCATGTGAAGATGGCTACTATGGCGTTAACTGCACGATGAATTGCCCTATTGGATGTTTGAAATGTGACAAACACACTGGAGGCTGTCCACAAGAGAGACTTGCCAAAGGCTATCAGGGGAATCGTTCATCTGCTGGAAGCACTTTCACAAGGGTGCACACAAAACGCAATGATGTTAACAGCATCGAAGGTATGTGATGTCAAAGAATCCATACACATGAAAACAGTATCGAATCACTGTGTTCTAATTGCGACAACGCTTTTATACATTTTTTTAAACAAAGGCATGATGTCAAACACCGCTTATGAAAGATATATTTACAACAGTTATTGCAAAAAACATTGCAGTGTGGCATATTTCATTTATAGCAGTCTGAGTATGTCCTTGTCATTTTTAAAATACAAAACATCATCGGCAGAAACTCCGCAAATTATTATTATTGGTGCAAAACGCAAATTGGCGGTATCCGGAACGCCGATAAAGTGAAAAGGTAATGCATGTAATTCAGTTATACTTGTTTACTTTATAACAAACTTGATTGATACAAGTTTACACTTCTTTCCAGTATCTTGTGATACAGCGTCGTATCCATTCATCATAGCTTCTGTTGTCCCAGCTTTAGTATTGACTGTACTTGTCGCTTTACGGTACTCAACCTACAGAAGGTATGTTCTTCTTTGTTTAGAGGAAAATATACTCGTTTATCTATTGATTGTACAACCGCAATCTCCAAGCTTCAAGTCATTACATATTGTTCACGATTATAGTAAATACCCTCATGATATAATATTGTTCAGATAACATATTTTATTAGAGCTTTAGATTTGTATTTAGATTAATATATATTTATGGTTCTGTTCAAGATAGTTTCGTGGAAAGTATACATGGATTAAGTAATACCCGAATATGAAATTTACAGTCATTATTAACATTTCAGAATACATAAGCCGAGTTCAAGGACATATTCTGAAGAATCAGAACACGTGTTTACCGAACGGAATGGTTCTGAAGTTTCGGATGTCCACATGGATGTACCTTATGATCGTGCAAAAGTTGATATTTTGAAAGAGAATGATCATTTCACATTAGAATACCAATTCACAAGCTGTGGGCATTCACATAAGGCTAGCAATGGTCAACACAGTTACATTGTTGATCTGGTAGCGCCAGCATAATCAGTATTGGCTTATTGTTTTGGTCATTTTGTCATGTGTTTATCCTTAGATTGGAATAAAAATGTAAATGCATAATCTACATTTAACTTGAAATGTTTTTCAATATCATTGTTAACTTAGTGTTAGTATCGACGTTTGATATTGTCAACATTGGTGGAAACCGTTGGGTTGTTGTTGTTGTTGTTGTTGTTGTTGTTGTTGTTGACATCAATCATAATGAAGATATTGAATAGGAAAATTATTATGTACATTGCACATTTAAAAAATAGTTCCCTGTAATTTGACGTAAAAAGCAAAATATTGATGAAGCTGATATGAATTGATAACTCAAACTCAATCTCTGTTACCTATCATATGTTATACATGGGCCTGCATACATCTGCTGATTAATACCTTCACATGTAACTGTGTGGTTTGACCATTAAACAGTTTGTAACAGAGTTGACCCTCTTCAACCCACAGCTAACAATGTATTAAAATAATGACATTAAAAGTCTGCCTTGACTAGACACGTAATACAACCATTAACCATGTCATGTTCAAGCATACACACACTGCGATCTTGCATTGCGTTACCAGGTTTTTCTGAAAAAGGAATATCGAGCTAGATGCATTTGCTAAGACTACATTATGCTGTGAATATAAATAGAATATCAATAGCGTTCAGTACCTGATGGTGGTATGGGGAAATGCCATTCATTGATTTGTTAATGGTCACGTGTAGCATAAAGCAACAGCGCGTCAGTTGATAGCATCGGTCGTAAATAAAACTTTCAATACACATTTCACAAAGCTTCAAAACTCATTCAATGTAGAAAATGCATATCCATTGTGGCTGCTATCACATGACGTTTCACACTAACAATGATAAACTGTATCGGTTGTGCACCATAACCAAGTTATTGAGGGTGTATTGAGTAACATGTTATGAGCGGTGACTGTTAAAACCTTAAGTAGATGCGTACCATCCAAGCAGATCGCAATATTTTATGTGTGACCTTGACAGCGGGAGGACCCGACACTTTATCGCACATTCAGCTGCTCACACGGTCAGCGGGGGTTGCCGCCAGGTGCTAAGATTAAAATACTTTACTTATCTGAATATTGTTGTTTGTTGTTTTATTTCCGTACTTAGAAGGCCACAGGCCTATAGTACAATGCACATACTATGTTGAGTAATTGACTAATGGTACATATATTTCCTGTACAGTTGTACATGATACACATACATGAACATGCTTCTTAGAACCAGAACTTGTTAACAAAGAATGAAATGTATATATATTTGGACGTACAGATTATCTAGAAAGTATACACTTAATTCTAAACTGAGAATAGAAAGCAGAAAATGATAATCAGCTCCAACTTTATCAAGATTACACAGTGTATGGCGTCCAACTTCAATTTAAAGCTCATGTGTGGAACATCTACCTTTGGATAGAGCACGTCTAAGGTTTTTTTTAACATTAACAGCAAACAGATACAGTTATGCATACAATGCGTTATAACATATCAAAATACATAACTTTAATGGATGAAGATAAAGATTGACACCAGTTTTGCAAGTACACATGTGTCAAAGAGTTTATACAATGAAAATGAGAATCTACATATTGTTCATTCCACACATAGCCAAAAACATGATTAAATAACAGTTTTCTTCCATTTGTAATCCAATTTCTTTTCCCGTTTAAGTCATACGTTAACATCATATTATTAACACATATTTGGATACCCCAAGGGTTACTTGTTTAACATTTGTAACAAATACTTCATTATCATAATATAAGAGTAAATTAACATAGGATACCTGGCACATTCACCATGTGCCATAGCATTTGGTATATCTGTCTTAATACCATGATAGTGAGTGAGTGAGTTGGGTTTAACGCCGCTTTTAACAGTATTCCGGTCATATCACGGCGTTAATACCATAATAACTTCCACATGCATGTAAGTGACAGTCAGTTTTGAAAACAACTACTTTAGGTTACTACGATTAACAGTTAGTTTCCACTTGGCACAGTATCAGTCATGTTAGGCTTTTTGTTTTTGTTAAATTGGAAACAGTACTTGATACCAATACATTATCATCAGCAAATAGTAACAGGAATAATTTGTAACAACACCTGCATTTAATTGTATACCATTTTCACAGTTACCATGAATGTGTAATACAAGTTCATTTATGAAAAATTAAAATGGAAAGGGGTTTACTATAGAGCCTTGTCTAACACCAAGGTCAATGTTAAGTGTTTCAGATAATTCTACCTTGTTTCAAACACCATCTAATATCACGTTCGAAATAAGAATCCAAAATTTCTCTGGACAGAATCAAACGCTTTTGCAACATGGACAAACAAAGAGTAAAATGTCCACACCCTTGCGACTCACTTATTGTGTCCATTGTATCTTACCAAAACACTAGAAGAAATTCAAGTGCAGAGAGGATCAGCATTGGACCAGATGATACGGTGCATTGACTAGTTACAGGGTCATTCAGGACCATGGGTGTGTTTACACATGTGTTAACACTAGCAACGGTTTGGACAGTGTTTGCTTAAGACAGTGTTCAAGGACTGTATGTCCATCTTTTCTTCATTGGAAAAGGACCGGTTATTTTCCAGTTTTATTTTCGGGGCACATAGCGATCTAATGTTTTCTGCCAAAAGTGTGAGGTGGCTGGGATGTAAAATAACAGGTAGTTGCGATTTGTGTTTTTCAGGGAATTTCTTGGAATAAGGATTATACAGGAATTCCTAAAGGCAAGTAGTTTATTACTTTTCACTCTTCCTTAGATGTTAGATATAAAGGATGTTTTACACATAAATATCGCCTCAAATGCTTATTGTGTTAGAATGTTATCCTGCCTTCCCAGATATTGCATTTACAGTGATAATTAATGCATTGTTAAACTATTAAGAAAACTGTTCGTATCATTAGTATTTGATTCATGCGGAACTAGGATTTATGACTTTTTAATTTTAGCAAGAATAACATTTGATCGCATTATTTTACGATTTCAAAAACTAAACGAGTTCTTCTGCTAAAAGTACAAACTTGTAGACCTACCCACGTGGACCACCCAAATATAGAACATCACGTGATGAACACGTGACTTTTTATTTACGCTTTAATGTATTCATGTGAACTATCGTAAGGTGTTTGAACATAATTTCTAATCTAGTTCCATAATTTTATGCAAAACTAAGAGATGTTATCACAGACAATTTTGGCTTAAGTCTGTTAATCATGCATATAGAAACGAATCTTTATCAGTAACACAAAAACAGGGATTTATAACATGTATTCCTAAGGAAAATAAGACGAAACTTTTCCTAAAAAAATGGCGCCTCATCTCTCTCTTGAATACCTCGTATAAACTAGCGTCAGCAGTAATCGCAAATAGAATTAAAGAAGTTTTAAGTATAATTATTAGTGAATATCAGAAAGGTTTTGTCTCGGGAAGATATATTGGGGAAGTTACAAGATTAATATATGACTTGATGGAATATACTGAATCATATCAAGTACCTGGATTGCTAATGCTGATTGACTTTGAAAAAGCTTTTGACTCTGTTGATAGACATTTTATTTTGAATACATTTAAAATTTTCAACTTTGGTCCAAGTATAGAAAAATGGATATCAACATTTTTCAGCGATATTGAATAAAGTGTATTAGTCAATGGTTTTGCTAGCCCCTTTTTTTAAGATAACAAGAGGTTATCGTCAAGGGGATCCAGTGTCGCCATATATATTTATTATATGTGCAGAGATACTTGCAATAATGATAAGAAAAAACAACAAAAATGTTAAGGGAATAACGACTGGCAGTATTGAACATTTACTTGCACAATTTGCAGATGACACGACTTTGATGTTAGATTGATCTAAAAAAAGGCCTCTACAATGTGTTAAATACACTCGGTTTTTTTGCTAGGTTTTCAGCATTAAAAGTTAATACTGACAAAACCAAACTGATATAGAAATAGAGATCACGATATAAGCTCTGTAAAGAGTGGAATCTTGACTGGACTCCTATAACGTTTAAATTATTGGGAATTAATTTTTCTATTGACTTGGAAGAAATTATTGACTTAAACTATACAGATAAATTTGAAAAAATTGAAAGGGAAATGAATGTAATGAAAGCAAGATTACTGACCCCAATACAGTTTTAAAATCACTGTTGCTATCAAAATTAAATCATTTGTTTACATCTATACCTAGCCCCAATGATGAAGTAATAGACAACTTTAAAAAAAAAGAAGATTTTCTTTTGTGTGGAAAAGAAAGCCAGACATGGTTAAAAGAAATGTAATTTCACAGCTATATCAGTTTGGGGGGATCAAAAAGTACCTAAAAGTACCTATTATTAAAGATATGATAGATTCACAAAAACTGTCCTGGGTGAAAAACTTACTTTGTAGTAACTCAAAATGGGTATAACTTTCATTGAATTCTATCCCAAACATTAACAGATTATGGATGGCAGACGCTAAATATGTCACTGATTGAATTATTCCTGCTGTAGACAATTACTTTTGGAAAGATGTATTACAAGCATGTAGCAATTATGTATCAAAGAGTAATATTAGTGGTAGTATTGACTTTGTAAACCAGGCTTTATGGTTTAATAACAACATTCAGATAGGCAGAAAGTCCATCTTTTATCCGACTTAGTATTGTAGGGGAGTTACATCTTTTTGATGGAACGGGTGAAATATATTCTTATGAATCTTTTATGGATGGATATGGAATAATAACAGATTTCCTAACATATCAGGGCATAGTTCAATCAATAATGCAACTTGCCAGAAAATTACAATTGTAACTCTAAGAGTATACCTAGAGTCTCTTTTCAACCTATTTTGCCATACAATGTTTCCCTACTCACAAGGTGTAATAAAGGCAGTAAACTCTTCTATAACACACTCTTACAACCAGCTTTCATAAAATATCAGGGAATGCCTAAGTGGGAAGAAACTTTACAGAAAGTATTTACCGATGAACAGTGGGTGGGATTTAATTTGATGGCAACAAGGTGTACCCAGAGTGTAGAACTGAGATGGTTTCAGTTTAGGATTATCCACTACATATTACCTTTAAATAATTACTTACATAGTATTGGTTATAAAGATTCACCAAGTTGCAACTTCTGTGGTATATATAGTGAAACTATTGTACATGCATTTTATGATTGCAAATATGTTGCTCTCATGTGGGAGCTTGTTCTCAACTGGTTAACGACATCTGTGGAAGGAAGACTAGACTTCTGTAAAGAGAATATTTTATTTCTCTTGGGGTGCAACTCAACTTATTGTGAAAACATAACATGCCTTGAAGTTAAATAAATGAAATTAAACTCACATCGTCTCTTATAAACACTAATAATAGTGAAATGTTAAAACAAGTTTACAGTAGAAATTAGCCCTCTATTCCAAATTACTCGCCGACTCTGATTGGGAGGCGCAACTAACTTATTGTGAAAATATTATATGCTTTGAAGTAAAATAAATGAAATTAATCCCACATCGTCTCTTACAAACACCAATAATTGTGAAAAGTTAAAACAAGTTTACATTAGAAATTAGCCCCCTGAGTCAGCTACTATCACAATGCTCGGTGGTACATGGGCCGATATTGTAAACTGTGATGAAGATGAGTGAGTGAGTATGGTTTTACGCCGCTTTTAGCAATATTCCAGCAATATCACGGCGGGGGGACACCAGAAATGGGCTTCACACATTGTACCCATGTCGGGAATCGAACCCGGGTCTTCAGCGTGACGAGCGAACGCTTTAACCACTAGGCTACCCGACCGCCCGTGATGAAGATGAAACCTGTGAAGAACTGTATATATGTGAATGTATGTAGTTATCTGTGAACAACTGGAAAACAGGAAATGATATGTAAATACATCAAATAATATGTAACAAATAACATAAATCAGATATACTACCACATAAATCGTTCATATCGTTATTAGCAATAGAGGTGACGTTTTCGCCAGAGAAATCGGTGCCGTTTTGCTGAGGTGCCGTTTTAGCCTGCACCCCCCGGTAGAGACGCAAATACCATCACGTATATTTCAGCTGCG